GTTAATACCAAACACGACTGACAGATTTGTCATGTGTGAGAATCAAAGACAATGAAAGCAGACTTAATGGATTTAATTTATCGAAATTTGTACATATAGGCTGCATCCAAGCAGTCCTCTGATGAACAGCTGCAACACCAAACACAATGGCGACGACGACTGGACAGCTCAACTTTCACTTGACTAATTCTTTTGCAGTGACAACAGCAACAATATAGAGCTGTTCGTTTAATCACATTTAAATGAACATTCTGTTTAAACTTAACTTAAACTTGCCTATGTGAGTACAACCAGAAAAAAAAAAAAAGTTTACACCAACATCCACAATATCTTCACCATCTCATCAAAATAGTGACACTAACTATTGCCAGTCACACTGCATGGATTAACAATCTGAATTACAAACTTCAGCCTCATCACTGTACACTTCAAAGATGTAAAAATCTACCATGAAATTATTTTTTTTATACAGCTTGTTGTATAAGAACACCAAATTGCAAAGCGTTTGTTCCAGCCATCTGACCTTCTACAAAAACTGACGAAATGATAGATGAAGTAATTTTGAATTGTGACAGATGGGGCCTTCTTTTTCCAGCACAAGGATCCTCCATGAATGTTGAATCATTTCAAGACAATGTTAACTAATTTTGATCTTTTAAGAAAGTGATGAGACAACTTTGAATTCCAATAAACCACAAAGCCTTCATTATCACACTTTTCTTCATTCTGTGGGCCTTAAACATGTCTGGCTATTTGGCAAGCAAAGGTTTGTCAACAACAAGCACCGTAAAGGTCTTGCAACACATTCTGCTAATGGTCCAAACTGTTGTCAAAACATGTCAATTCTGCAATATTACTGCTCTCCTGAAGTAAAGATAAAAATTCAAAACAAGTCTGACTTGTCATCTTTGCATTATGGCTCCATATAAAGTCATATTGAGAAAACAGAAGTACCTGAACTTCTCACTACCCAAGAAAAATCTGAATAGAATCTTTTTAGTAATACAACTGTCTGTAGTTGCCATGACAATCATATCCAGCACACCTCCACAATTTCAGAGGCAACTACTAAAACACTCACACCATCTGCATGCCTTTAGATCAAGTCTAGCATGATGTGTTGTGGACAGTAGTGATCCAAAGGCCAAAACGCTACAAAGCAGGCTTTTAAAGATCAATTAAAAGGCCCATCAAGCCACAAGTCAGCTAAACCGTTTCCACAGCAACCTGCCACAACTGGCTTTTTAATTACTGAAAGAAAGGATTAGTGTTGAAAAGGAAGAGGAAGAAAAGAGATTGTTAGAAAGCAGGTGGGAGGATAGAGAACACAATGACAGTTGGGTCAAAACAGAATTCATTTGCAAAAGAAGGACAGGGATGTGTAAACCGGTTTGACCCAGCCTGCCACCATTACACCAGCAGAGACCTCCATGGACTTCTTGACTTCAACAGTGCAATGTCCAAGTTTATATTTGTGCCATACCATTCCATTTAGTTCACCAATTTTCTCTAGAAACATCTGAGGCTTTCCACACCTACTGATTAGATTGAAGTGGATTTCATTTGGGACCGATTCATATTGCTTGGCACGCTTTACATTTTATTTGAAACATGTTTCATTTCACAGTTAGGGACTCTTTTGTGTTGATCTCACAAAAATACATAAATTGCACTGAAGTTTGTGGTTTTAACATCACAAAAGAGGGTGGGAAAACCTTTGCAAAGCACTGTCAACAGAAATACCAAATACAAGAGTTTGGCCGATATCATGCAAAAGAGGGGCAGTAAACCTACAATGCAGGGCTTCCTGCCAAACAACACCAGATGTTAATCTTGGTGACACACTGGGACATCCTCCAGGACCCAACTGTCTGCTGTCCCCACCACAGGTTTGTGACGCACAGCCATGCAGCGAGGCAAGACCTACAATGATTGCTCTTGCGAAACTTTGACAATTCCACTAGTTGGAGCGGACAAAATGGGAGAAAAGCAGCATGGGAAAGAAAAACACAGAAAAGGTCAAGCTGACATGTACTTTCTGCAATGCAAGAAGAATTTCCTTTCCACACAAAACTTGCGAGGCACTGGAGGCTATTTAGCAGGTGGTTGTAAACCTCCACAAGAAGGTTCACTGAGGCAAAAGAAACAACTGCAGTTGATCTATACAAGGCTGGATTCCAGTGAGTAATCCAACTTAACGCAGACTGTTCAGGGTGACCATGTACTGGTGCAGATCAGCACTACAGCAGTGCTCAGATACTGATTCACAACTAGCATTAATGCCAGATATCAGAATATTCACTTTTTTTTTAGATCAACTCTTTAAGCATGGGAAATGATAAATGATAAAAGGCCATGGACTTCTTATTTGGAGTAAAGATTGGCAAAACAAGTGTGATGTGATTTAATACATTCTTTTGTGGAGTGATTATAGTGAGCCATATATGAAACTGAAATATGTTAGGCAAAAAAGGTGCTAAAAAGTGACCATAAAAATGTAATTTAAATAAATTAGAGACGCACTGATCCGGTAACATCTGCATTGATCCTGATGCAGATCAGGCATTAGTGAAAATGTGCCCAATCCATAAAGGCAGATCTAATCAGTCTAATTCTATACTTTCTGCTCTGAGCGACATTGTGTGTTATTTATTTTACATCATACCTAGAATTTCTAATTTCACTTTCTGGATCATAAGAAAATTTGTTGCAGTTCGTTTTATACGTTTGACCAAGGTAGTCAACCAACTGTTTTGGTCATTTTCAGTTTATATTACGTTTAAAGTTGTGAAATCATAATTGCACTGACTGAACAAGTTAAAGTTGTGTTTCTACATGTTTGACAAGCTTGCGAAACTATTGGTAGATTTAAGTGTGCTGTACTGGTGCCGAATTAGTTAATAAATTTGTAATTCATGTCAGTTTTAAAAAAAACGTTTTAAGTTAATTCAGCATAATTTTTTTCGTATTGGCTAAACCTGAACCTCAAGTATTGGAAGTGAAAAAAGTGGATCGGTGACTAAAATAAATAATTATAGATTGGCGCCATGACAGAGAAAAAAAGCCAAAACAGTAATTTAAAAAAATAATAATAAATAAAAAAAAACAAAACATCCAGTTTACACTTTTACTTACGATCTAGTCCATTGACGTAGCGGATTGATACTTCACAGTGCCCCCAGACTGCACTGACGATGGGATACAGTCTCTTTCCCTTTAGGCCCCTGAAGGCCACTCCTAGATATTGTCCATCCACCATAAAGCTTAGCGTCCCTTCGTCCATGTCCAATATTACTGTGAGGCAGTCTGGGAGAACAAACGACTCATCTGGCTCCAGAAAACTGGGGTACGTGGGTGCAGAAGAGTTACCAGGTCTGTTCTTTCCATCGTGATAAAGTCTGTTTCGGCCAAGGTCCCACCCCCAGGACTCCGAGTCTGAGCCCACTAGGGCCGTGTAACCAACCGAGTGTAAAGGTGCTTCAGCAGTAGCCACCCCTACTACAGCATGGGTGCCTCTCTGTCTTGCTGGCCAGTGAATCCTCCACACGTGTAGGCCACGGGTGTAGCCAACCTTCCCTCGAATGCAGTCTGTGCTCTGAGCCACGGGGTGCCTGTGAAAAGTCAGCTTGTCGTCCTCCTTGACGAAGACGTTGAGTGATCGGTCGTCAGAGTTCCAGGCGTGGCGAAGTTGTGACTCAGCAGTGGCTGGCGGCATGTCGAGCAGTAAATCCAGTCTGGGGGGCCGACAGAAATCCGGACCCCGTAGTTCGCGACGCACTGGCCGATACGAAGGCTCCCCACGTACATCCACTGACTTGATGCTGCCAGAGATCTTCTGGCCCATGGTTTAGAGGATTCAAGGGAGGAGGGGACAGAGGGGAGGGAAAAGGATGGACAAAGGGTGGTGATGAGGGGCCAGTAGGTCCGTACGTTACCTCATGGGCGCACAGAAATGATGCGAGGTCAGTGTGGAAAGATGCTGCTAGGCACACGCAGTCGTCAGCCTGAGGGGACCACAACCCTGCAAACACACAGAGACATGATCCTAATTTTTTGTTCTGAATTGGTAAATCAAGAACAAACAGAAAAATCTGTGTTTTCTTAGTTTGTCGTTTCCCCTTAAAGGGGCATTGTTTTTAGCCTACAATGAAAATGTTCCTTCAGACAGTTTTACGTCATTTTAATGACAGACAATGTGACAGAGTGGCTAGGGTTTTTTCAGGCTGTATAGAGCACAGACTAACTTGGCTTCAACCCTTCACCACCTCCCGTTGCACAATCTCAGTTGACTCGTCTAACCTTCTTTTGTTTTCAAGACAGAACAATGTGGTTGTTGGAAATATTTCTTCACAGTCACGGTGTGGAAACTGAAGGAGCGCCACTCGTCATTCTTGCTCAGGCAACAGCCCTTTAAAACTTCAACCGATAAGCCGTCAGGCTGTATGTCTGTTGAGCACCTGACTCCAAGACAGCCTGACTAATCTGGAGAAGACAACCTGACTAATCAGTAAAACTGTGTATTATACATATTACTCTATAAATCAAAACAAAAAAAAGATACAACATTGTTTGCAATAATGACTTAAACAGAAGCTACTAATTTAATGTTTATTTGTTGGATCACACTGCCAACATCCTCTCTGTGCCGAGGCATTAGTTTTGTTTTAGTAAGATTCTTCCCATGAGTTATGGGATATCTGAAATTGCTCAAAAAGCAAAACAAAACAATTAGAATATCTTTTAAATTAAAAATATTACAATCATCATCGTTCAGTAAAAAATACTTTAACAGCAGGATTAATTGTTTCTCTGCTGAGGGAAATAATTAATGAGCAACAATTAATATACAAGCAGTAGTACTTTTAGTCGAGGCTGATATAATCTTCTCAAACCAGCAAATATCTGGTTGCTATTCAGCTCCTAGGTTGTACACCGATTGCTTCAAATTAATCTAAACATTAAGGCCTCTGCACAGCTACACTGAACTTCAAATGTGAAGCCATTTATGTTGTATAAGAAAAAGACATCAAGCTGAGCTTGAAGAAAAGACTAAAGGCCACCGACTTCTTTCAAATGTACAGAGGATAGGATGAAGCTGCTTAAAACCTGCTGCACCAACAGAACGCCTTGTCCGCTCTGCAAACATTCTAAGGTTTCACAATCCCCTGCTGTTTCAGAGGAAACTCCACATGGTTCTTCCAGGGAAAGTACAGTGACTGGAATTAACCCAATCATTTTAAATCCTTCAAAGTTAACATTTATTGATGGCTTCTGCTTAAAAAAACTAAAATGGCGAGTGATTTCTACTTACGGTCACAGATGTGGAAAAAGCCTGGGGCTAAATTTGGTTCAACGTATGAAAATCTGTAACCAAAATATATTGCACTTATAAAATTCTTGTCTACCATGCTTAAAGTACACTGCAAGATATGGAAATATTAGGATATTTACTGTTGACCAGGAAAATCTGTAGAACGGAAATTCATTGCCCTTTGCATTTCAAAAATATCCTGCCTGAGGCAGTCCCATGTCTCCCAGTTTGGCAGACATAGCTCAAAGGTTTTCGCAAATGCTGCTATAAGTAGGGCTGAGCGCCACCCTCAATTTGACATGGCTGTGGGGGAAAAAGCAGAAAGGAAATATAGAATAAGCAGCTCTGATTGAGTCTTTTCTCAAAAGATTGAGTCTATTCCCAAAGACCGTGTACAGCTCCATGGCAGAATATTTAAATGGGTTAAGACATTTCACCACTGCTTAAAATGCTCAGAAAAGGACGAGATTAAAGACTTAGCATTTTATCCAAAGTGATTTGACTTTTTTTTTTTTTTTAAGAGTTCCTAAAAGATCCAGAATTGCATAAACTTGTCTAAATAAAAAGTCAACCCAAAATAGAAACTTGAAAGCTAGAAAAAAAAAAAAAAAAAACCTAATCAATCCCTAGTAATACACTTTCTAGCTTTATTGGCTACACCGTAGGCTTTGAAACGGTAAAACATTTAGGTTGAGGTTTATATCTCAAAATTCAGAGGTGAAAGCAGAAGAGCAATTCAGGAAGAGAAAAAAATCCACCATAACAAATGGACAACAGTAGTCAGAGCATTCAGACATAATCTCTGAGGATCATTTGTTGGACCTCGTCTCATGACTGGACTGCAACACACAGAGCGACTTCCACATTTCCCTCTACTGAGGATAAAAACATGGTGGACACAAATCATATGTTCAGTTCCTCAAAAACTAATGTCAAAGACATTTATTAGACAACCAACGTGGCATTTTTAAAATTGTAACGAGCCTGTAACATGGCTATAAATGGCTTTACACTGCAGGAGACCATGTCAAAGATTTTTCTTACAGCTATTCTTAAGATGGGTATTCAGAGTTTGCCATATGTGGTTTTGAATCATTACAGTAGAGGGTCATTGAATGGCCAAGTGTGAGTTGTACCCTTTAAAATGCACAGTCATAGTATGCAGCTTATTGTGTCAATGCGCATTTGTTCACTTTGAGCCTAGGCCAAGGACAGAAACTGAAAATCTAGAAAAATTAAAGCGCACAATATCAACCTTGAATGAATTTTTTTTCTTCACCCTACAACATAGACAGGTTGAAAAATTGGAGAAGAGAAGTGGATCATCTCTCAGAGGACTCTTTGTGGATACTAGATGGCATCTACAGCGACATGCTGACATTAAAAAACAAAAAAAAAAAGGCTTTCCAGCTGGTGAATGCCAACCATCAAAGCAACATCATCCTAGTTTGATGGACAGCACAGTTTCTGTTCATGCCTAGTCCCATCTCATAAGCACACAGGTGCAATGACTATATGATCAACATCATCTGTGGAGAAAACTTCTAAAGCAGATTTTAAAAAAACAATACTACAACTTTGTTCAACAATAAGTTACTTTAATTATAACCCATTAGCAAAAACCATGTTCACCATGCCAGGTTTAATCAGTGTAGGTGGCTTAGAAAGCTCACTTAACCGCCATCTCTCCAACCTCAAGCCTATAATTACATATTGTACTTTATCAAATTACTTTACGAGCCCGAGTCTGTTAAATCAGTGGCCTTCATTTAATCAGTTCTTTTCTACATGCGTACAAGGTTTCATTGAGAGCCTGGTTGTCACTATATTTGCTACTAATTGAGGCAGCAGGTCGAGGTACACTGCATTATAAAAAGACCTCAGAATCTTTTTTACACATGTTTGAACTGTCAACTTGTGAGGGATCAAAGGTGGTGAATATTGTTTCAAATGTGTTCAAAGGAAGGTGAAATTCCCCCAAAGCTAGAACATTTTGTCCACTAAATACACTGATTGGACAGGTGATGGATGGGTGATGCAGAAGCCCTGACAGGAAAAGTAAAAAAAACTGGAATGAGGAAATACCACGTGGCACGTGAAGAGACTAAATTCAGCTCTCCAGCGGAAATGTTTTCAGAGTTCATGCTCTGAAACAGATACAGCTGCTTCAACCTAAAACATCTGCCAGTTTACCATGATGATTAACAGAGTGGAACCTGGATCTTTACAATTAGTAATTGCTAAACGTTTCCCCACTGGAAATACTAGAAATTAAAATTATTTGTTAACCAAGCACCCACACCCTGACACAACATGCTCAATACCAATAATTACTCATTTCCAAATTTGTGGAGTAATCAGTCCTAAAATATTGCAATTCAAAGATACTTGCTCCCAAAGAGAAACAGTCACATCTCATATCCATGCATCTTTAGAAAGCCATGGATGGTGATGCTGAGAGCAGGAAGGATCTCTGGTAGCAGTCAGTCTTGCAACAAATCTTAAGAAGTCTCTGACTGAAGAGTGTTGCTGAAGAGAGTCCTACTGAGAGCTTAATATCCAAACACAAGAAACTATTTTCCTCACTAACAGGTCATGCATGACTGCTGTTGGCAAGCACTGCTAATTCCAACCTTTGCTCGGTTGCATGCAACCAAGCAAAGGTTGGTTTAGAAAGCAGGGCAGAGAGACCGAGATGGGGAGCTGATCCTTGCACATTGTGATCGATGGAAGGGATGTTTTGAACTCCTTTCTACCCTCCTTGTGCTCTTCCTGCTTTGCATCCAAGAATCTCTCTTTTCAACTCCTCTGAGATTTGGGGTCTAATGATGCATTTTATTTGTAGTTGGAACTCAGAAATTCTGAATTCCCAGTCTAATAGAAATGAGAGCACCACTACAACTGGCTGCATTGCACTGCAGACAGGAAAACAACTCTGAAAGAGTTCATATGCAGTAGAAACGCATTGAGTTATAGTTGGACAGCAAAGCCAAGGTCATGAGAGGCGCAGAGTGCTCTGGTTCACATACTCAACAACGTTCTACACTTAAAATCAAATTTGGGGGAATAATGAATCATTTACGTTTGGAATGACTCAAACTTAGTTGTATTCAAACTTAAGTTTCACAGAATAAAATTAGACATGACTAAAGTAAGAACAGTAAAATTGTTGAGGCTAGACAGGAACATTAACTCAGTGAGAGCTTAAATTTCTGTATGTTGCCTTTCAACACTAACTGGGAACCATCAAGTAAAAGCAGATGTCACCAGTGTAAACCGAACAGACCACATTTACAAACATCTCTACCCCAACTTGCATTTTCAGTCTGAATACCTTCATAGTTAACTGTAACTGTTGTTTCTTTTGAACCCATTAAATCTACAGGTGCAAACTTAATGTGATGCAGATTGTGGCTCCCAGCAAGAAGGTCTTCATTTAAATTCTTTAAAGTTTCCTTCTATGTGGAGTTGAAATGTTTCAATGAGAACATATGGGGTTTTTCCTGGGTTCTGCAGTTCTGATTCAATTAGCAGAATCATGCATGAAAGTTAAACTGTTTACTTCAAAGCTGGTGTGTATGCAAGCATAGTTTTGACTTTTTGATCCCTGTTGGACTGGCCACCTGTCCAGTACATACCCTGCTTCTTGCCCAAGGACACAGTCCCCATCACCCCATAACCTTAAAGACGACAAAAGACGAATGGAAATTGAGAGAGAACCCTTTTGCAGGTTTTTAACAGTATATTAAATATTAGATATATATATATTTTTAAAAAGGCAGGACACAGAAAAATATATTTTTTAACCATCTTTTGCAGGGATCCCCGCTAAAATTATGCTTAAGGTTTTCAGATGCAGCAGTCACTGCATGATACTGCTTTGCTACACTTTCAAAATAGGAGAGCAGCACAGGTGTGGATGATGCAAAATGAAATTTCTGTTTTTCCATCTCTTATTTATTCCGTTTGACTGCAACTAAGCTCTCAGTGAAGCACTCAAATGGGTATGCAATGAATTTGGCAGATTGCAGTATATGGCCTTCACGCAGAGCATCGGGTCTGAGAGGGAGTCTGTGGAAACCAAATCGAAGACAGGTGATGTTTATCAGATACAGATTAGTGGAGACACAAAGTGGGAAGCCAAATCAGTTCCAAATAAAAAAAGAAAAACCAAGGTATACTTCCAGATTCTTTATATGCAATAAGATTGTAAATCAAGAGATAATCAACTAAGAGCTGGTTGTTTTTTCCCCAAATGGGAATCATTTACAAAAATCAGTTCAGGTGGCTGAAGTGAAACACTCCAGGTCAAGAAGGATTATATTATATATAATCACCATCACCCACTTCTGTCTTTTACTACTTTATGCCAACATGTCAGATGACCAAATCAAGGTCTGATCTGTATTAAACTCAATTCCCGATCTCGGTGGTTGGTCTGACTTGAATGTGTTATGGACATTTTGGTAACTTATTGAGCATTGGTTTTTCCACTGCTTGGTGTTCTTTACCATTTACAATGCTCACATTGAAAAAGAGGCTGTCTCGTCCCCTGAAGCTCCATCTGTGTCTGATGCAACATGCTGCCCAGGTTCATATCCACGGAGAGCTTTTTGTGAGTGAAGGCTGCAAAACAGCTGCTGAGAAGCTTATCACATTTTACGGTTTTCAAAAACAAAACCACAAGTTAATAAAGCAGAAGACTTAACTTTTCTCATTTGAACCACATTGAAATATTCTGAGCAACAAGTCATCACAACTGAGCAAGCATCCTGAGGTTAAACAATTTAGCGGACTGTTTTGCATTAAATCTTCAGTAGGAGAAAGGATAGAGTTTACTGAAAACTGTAGCTAAATGTGTTGAGTCAGATACAGCTTTCCTAACAGTTAACCACGTTTTGGAGAATGTGTAACAGATTAAATGTAGCATGTTATTTTCACTGGATGTCAAGGATACAAAGTTTAAGTTTAGAAAGGGAATTGTTTTTCACTAAGAGTAATGAAGTAGCAAATCAGACTTGGCATTATCAGATATCTAAATCTTCTATTTGTTATTGTATCTGGGAGCAAAAAAATGACTTACAATAATTTGTAACCTCAAACCTCCAGGGAGAACTTAGATGCTTAGACTCGGTCTTGCAGGTGTTCCAGGGCTGGGAAAATTTTTTTTCCATCTCAAGAGTGTAACCAAACAGAAAACAGTTAACTCCAGCTACACCAACACACAAGTGTGTGAAAAATTGTGCTGAAATCCAAAACAATCAAAAGTTCTGCTGAGGAGAAACTAAGCAAGTCACCTGATGATCAAAATAGGAGAGATAAAAGTCATGAAATAAAAGAAAAACCTCCACATGACTTAACGTCCAACAAGAAAACGCTTAGAGCCGACATACACCAATTACGCCGCAACTGTCGCGACGTCTTGAAACCTGTCACTTCTTAAAGATCTGCTAGAAACACAAAGGGCCAAGACACAGAAGTGTCATCTTACCATGAAGACACTGCTTTAAGTCAGGCGATTTCCACACACCGATGCAAATGTAATCACAGCAGCCAAGTAGAATAGTGGGAATACTTGCTCTTCAATGCGTCATCCAAAAGGAGGTCAGAACACGCTCACCAGCCAGGAGCGTGTGGGACAAGACAGAGACAGACAAGAAGAGTGTGTTTGTGTGGGGAAGACAGCAAGTTCCTGCTCGTGACGCGAGTATGGGGAAGGACAAAAACAGAAAAAGAAAAAATCCTTGGCTTCAGTTCCCAGCTAAGAGGGAAACAGCTGCTGGAGGAAATGGAGGGGGGCTGGAAAACACAGGGAGGCAGGGCTTAGTGTGAAGCACGCTCAAAGTCTTACCGAAGCGGTCCAAAAACCACCCACTCTCACAGATACCCTGACTGAGCTCCTTCAGAAGAGAAGACCATGTGGACACACACGGAGCTGTCCAGGATTGGCAGATTAATGCTCAGCTCAACTTGCTGAACTGGACAAAACCCACAGGGCTGCTCAGGATTAGGGCCAACAAAGTGCCGACCCATCAAAACTCACCAGCACCTCTGAGGCAGTACAATCAGCGAGAGAGCACCTATCAAAGGAAGTGACATCAGCGGCATGTGAGAGCAATTGACACCATTTCATAAACAGTGTTTGATAGCACAACAGAACAAAATGCTACATTCAGTGTCATTAAGAAGCCATTATTTTTCCCCTATAATTATAGAATTAAAAAGAGTCCAACATGAGATACTGAACTAGGGTTGTCGAAATAATACTTTGGTATGGCAAACAAGAAAAACCAAAGAAAAAAGTTCTTTAAAGATACTGATCCGTTTAAAAATAAATACCCAAAGGGTTTCACATCTGCACACCAGAGCAGCAAACATAAACTGTGTGTAAACTATAAACCTAGCTTTAGCCTAACTAGGTGCAAACAAAGTCTGGCACTAAACAGCACAACCTTCTTTATAGAAGTGCTTACACTTGCTTATAATTAGGAAGATATGCAATACACACCAATCCTGCTGAATGCTGTGATAAATAGTCAAATAATTACAAACTATTAATGCATTTCTGCATGGGACTGATCGAAAACTAGACCCAAAGTTAAAATGTCTCCATCAGCTTTGTGAAATGTGAAGACATGTTTATTTCACAGAATTTCCTCAAGTTGGAGAAACTCCAAAAAGAGCAGACTGTGTTTTACATCGTAAGAGGTAAAACTAAGTGTCACAGAGAAAAATAAGAGTTTGCATTATCATGACAGGATCTGTTAAAAGATCTCAAATAAAAAAAATAATAACTGGGGTTGGAATTGACACCAACATCAGATTCATTTAGCATAAAAAGTGCTTTATAATAGCCATCATTGTGAGAGTTATTAAACTTTAGCAGGAAAAATAATGGGATCAAAACTGAATTTTCAAAGAAAATCTGTCATTTTCACAGTCATTGCACATTAAATTATCCCTTGATCCATCTGTCTGAATGTTGTTGCCAGGGCAGACGAAGGCCAATAATGGACCCATTTGTCCAAATGACTTCCTGCTCCTCAGACACACCCATTAGCAAAGGATAAGAGGCAGTCTCTGCATCTCCGTTTACCCAGGAAGAATAACTTTGGCAACTATGTGTTAAAACTAGGAGCCAGTGCTAGCTTTTCATATGGACTGTGGTATTTCTAACACTGGTTTAGAGCCAAAGCCAGACCCTTATACAGAGGGTCCACAGCATCCTGACATGAGTTTCTAAAGTTCATGCAGTCAAAAAATTCAAACTTCGTTCACTGCCAGGCATTACAATTATAACTGAACTGCTTTTCATCGTCACGTTATAACAACCAAGGAAGTGTTCTGGTATTTTATGGCAAAACCTCAATTAATACGAAATTGTGAGGAATAAAAAACGACCGAAGGTTTCGGCAGACATCCATATTCACACCTTGTGAATGTCATTAGAACTTTTTGGTGAACTTTTGGGTTATGTCCATAAACTCGAGTTTATGGTTTTGGTAGACTTAAATCTGGAAATTCAATCTCATCTTTTAGAAGTTCATTGCAGACGCAAACATAATGTTAACTATTCAGCTTAGCCAAATAATAAATTTTATAGATGCAAATGTGTCTTCATTATGGATTTTTTTTTTTTTTAACATGAGCAACATTTGGATTCAGGTACTGCAGTCAAAAATGGACATAGATATCCACACATGAACTTTATTGAAAAGAAAAACCCAAATAAAGAATAAAATGCAAATTACGTTAACCTAATCTTTTGCAGTTTCGGTGTTTCCCCATCATCACACCAACAAAACATTGAGCTGCAATGTTCCTTGCTTCCTCATTGCTGCGTCTAGGGCTGCTAAATCACGGTTGTTCCGCTTCAAAAGATGACAAATGAATTCCTGATGCTGCTCAAGCTTAAACTCTACCCCAAGCAGCTCTGTGATGTCCTTTGCTCGTGTAGTGACAACGCAGTCTGGCGTCAATGTTTTACCCCTCAAGTGAGCATAAAAAAAAACAGGGAATAACTGTGCAGTGTTTGCTAACAAAGTTTAATAAGGCCAGGGCAGAACTGGTTTTTAAAGCCGCTCAAGAAAAGAAGTAGCTTTAGGTTTAACAGGTGTGAGTACTTCTGCAAGGCACTGCACCCAGTACATCACTCCAATTTTAGGCACTTACTTCAGGCTTGGTGAATACGTTGCTTGTCCCCCTACAGTACCTCAATAGTTGAACTAAAAGGATGAAAGCTTGAAATGTGTAGCTCCGTATATCTGGTTAGCTTTCCATCATCAAAATGATAAATACCACAAATTTAAGATTGATTTTTAGTTTGAAATTGAATCAATTGAATCAAACGACGACAACCAACAACAATCTTCAATTCCCGTTTCAAACATTATGAAAACAAGAACTGAAAATTAACAAACATCCTAATCCATCTAGATCCAACATACTTAGATGGTGCATACATCAGATTCACAGCATCTGGGTCACAGCACCAAAGTTCAGGTTATTACCTTATAAAAACTGCATAGTTTAATCAGGATGCCACAATGAAACTATATTTTATGGGTCACCTTGTTCCTCTTCATTTATAAGCACCAAGGAAATGGTACCATTAACATAATAAATGATATTTGGCAGAACATGTTAATGAGCTCAAACAGAGGCAATGGTCTGACACAAGGTCATGCATTATAAATGCAGTAAGTACTAAAGAACTGGTGGTTGTTCTAGGAAAACTGGATTTGTTTGGACCATGCTAAAATGCAGGCCAGGTTTCAGCGATTCAAAAAGTACTGCAGAATGTCAAAAACATGAGGTGAAAGAAGAGATGGGCATTACTACAACCACAATACTGTTATGGAAACGTTGAGAAACAACGTACTGTTCTTTACAGATTAAAAATCTGCATTCAAAAATATTTTTACTGGAAATACAAGTCGTTTCAAAAAGTTTTATTTTTCAGAAGCAAGAATCAGTCGCTAAACTGGGTTAGATTGCTGCTAGATTTAAACTCATCTCTTTTCCTAAAGCCCCAACTACACAGCAATCCTTTCTAACAAGTTTACCTCTGCTGAAAATCTCTTGTGAAACCTCCTTCGTGTCCTTGCCATTTTATCATCTACTTCTCATTAACAGGACAATTAGTTTGCAGTAACTAAGGCACAAATCCAATTTAGTTCACAAGCATTTTGTATTGCGTATCAAGACGCTCCCAAGAGGAAGCACTGCAGAGGTTAGCGAATATGGAAAACTGTGGCTTTTAATGATCCGACATTGTTGATGAAGGCTAGAGGGAAGTGGGAGTGAACCATTTATCAGCAGACGGCCTCAGGGAAGGCACAGACAGCCAACCGTTTCAGACCCAATGTGTTTCAGTTCAAACACTGTCTCTAGTGACCGATTGCTCCTGTGGTCAGTGGCACTTCTGAATGGGTTTAGGTTGAAATAACAGTCATTAAATATCCCAATAAAGAGCCATGCTGCGTGTCCCATGATAACACCCCTATTTTTAATGCTAGATGTGGAATGACCTTATAAAAACATCCTCAGTCACATGACCAAGGATGGAAACACCTTGACTGAAACATGGCTCTGAATGTTTCCTAAAGCCATTCAGTAAAACAATTGTGTTAAACTTTTTCCTCTTCCACAGTAAAGTTAAATGCAACTTCCTTTGCACTAGCCATGATCTAATAAGACCTGTGATTGATTTAATACAATGGAAGCTTAGACAAGACAATATGAAAATTCTGCATCACAATTGTGCACAAATTTATCATGAAATGCGACATTACTTAATTACTACTTATAGCTTTAGTAATTAACCCAAAACACCTTTTGCTGTCCAATTATTAAATAAGAAAAAATAGATAACCACATGACTACAGCAGCTGAACTTTAGACAAAAAAAATTTTTTCTCAAAAGGGAATTTAAATTTTTGTGAAGAAATATATATATTTATATAGCATAAGTGCTTTAATACGTCTGCAGAGCATGCCAATTGTTTTGATCCAACATCAAAATAATTGATTACTGAAATACTCTTAAGCTGCAGCTCTACAGCAAAGGAAAAATGTTTGCGCATTTGATTGGTGCATCTCTAGAAGTACTTTTATTTCCAAGCAAGGTGATCAATCCTTTGACATTAGTTCCAAAACTTACTCAAAAGGGACACAAATGTAATCAGCTCATCTGATTATGTATTTGCAATGATCAGATGAATGTAAAACAGTTTGTGCTGATTTAGTTAGCAGGACAACAGATTAGTTCCTTTCATCTTTCTGGCAAACAGATCAGCATTTTTTAAGTTATGAAAAATTCAAGTTTGTTTTTCTACAGATGCAGGCAGCAAATGAAATTGCTTTGTGTATGACAAAGTGTCTGATCGTGAATTAAAAGCAGAACCTACCAGCCAATCTAGACACGCTCAAAGACGACTTGACACATTCTGCACATCAGCCTAAACGCTCTGATGACAAGGAGCTTAACTGGGAGGCATTTTGGACGTCATGTCATTGATGGAGTTAAATTAGTATACCCTCATATTTAAGCTTGTGGCCTCGTTAAGAAAATAAAAAAATCACGAACTACGATCAAACATGCCATGAAGAAACAGGGGCAACTAACTAGCAGCTGGCGTCAACTTCATGGATTTTTAATTAAAGAAGCTAATTTCTAAAAGATCAGACGAAACCGCTGTAGTGAAAAGTGTTATCAGCTTTCCATGTTGCTTTGATCTCACAAAGACGCTCTTCTTCAAACTCCAGTAGTCCCAACAACATTAGTACTACCCCTAACTGAACAGTTAGGTAATTGGCAGTGTAAGAAATCTCCAAATTTAAATCAATTTTTCTTTTTCGACACCCTCAATGGAGGACATGACCAACATGATCCTGAGCAGATTAGAAGGAACCGACCGACACCTTGAAAAGAAGACAGGAAAGATGCTGTACGCCACTGCAGCAACAAGATCCCAGTGGTGGACGTCTACCAGGACAGGGGACAATTCAATTATTCATGTCATTACAGCATGGGGAAACAATGGCTTGGCTGAATGATAGTTGTAATAAGAGGAAAGCTGAGCGTATGGGTCAAGTTGCCGTAAGGTAACAGGAAGACAGTCTTGGCAGGGGACTAGAGGAAACTATGAAAAGAACTGGGCTTAAAGAGTCAAAACAAAGTTTATTTAATCTTTTTGTGCCAACATCTCCTACAACACCACATCTACCCAAAAGAATTTCTTTGAAACATCAGTTACATAAAAAGTTCTAATTTAAGTTGAATATTAGTTCATAGAAATTAACAGCAATGACATGCAGTAGGTCAAGAACTTTTCAAATATGAAAGAGGGACCTAAAGACTATAACTAATTTACTACAAGTCACAAAACCACTTTATTTGGGAAAATTGCTATGAAGATATCCCAAGACGAGAAACTCTTCATGTCCACTGCATCGACTCCAAATCTTTGAAACACTTTTTCAAATACCACCATCTAATATATTCAGTAGAGCTAAGACAAGACAACCGCCCTTATAGATCTAGCCATCTTCTTCAGCTTGTCGGAGATCTGCCTGAGGAGATAGAAACTCCAAATGGGATATACGGTTCCTCCAGCGAGTTTGGAAGTCTGTCTCCCTTTCAGAGGCAGACCTCCAGAGGGAGCTGCCCTTTTGACTCCTAACAATGTGAAGGAGTAGCAGCTGTATTTTCAAGTCAACCTTGTATGACGAAGCTCCTCATCACTTCTCTGACACCAAGTCCACCCACCCAACAAAAGACGCTTGAGACAATCAGATGATCAGTATCCAAAGACTGAGTCGAAACCAAGTGAGCAATAGATTGGGAGCTTTTAGGCTCAGATCTTTCTTCACTCCCAGAGATTGAAACAACATGTCTACAGATGACACATTGATCCAACAAATACTTAATTTACGAGGGTGTTGAAACGAACATATTTTTCCTAGTGACAGACACCGCACTATTGCACACTCAAGACTCTGGCTTGAAGATGCCAACAGAACCATAATATGTGCAAAACAGCAAAGCCCCTGAAATTTCCAAAATACAAAGTAGAGGCCCTCTGCTCCATGAACATCACAAACAAAAATCTGTGAAAAAGGGTGCAACATACTTGACTCCAACACGTCTCTGCCCACCGCATCAGTATCCACAATGACTCTGATGATATTTGGATGACATTAGTTGAGATAAAGTTTTGAAACAAACCCTATGCATTTACCAGTTCCACCTCATCAGTATAAAAAAAACATCTTGATGCAGTTTCCAAACTTTAGCTCACACAGAACAAACACCTTTACTGCTCCAACTTAGGGAAAATTACAGTCATTTAGCAACACTTCTGTGGTTCAATTTCAGACAAAAAGAAGAAAGTTTGCGCCATGAATGCTACCTCACAAACCAGACAGTCATAATAAAAACTTGATTCAACAATAGTCATTTTACAGCCGCTTCAATGTCAGACTGAGGTGTAGTCTATATTTAAGCATACACAGAAAAACGCTGCATACTGGATCAGCGGAGTTGTGCTGATTCTCTACAATGGTGTGCATGCAGACACTGTCCTTGCACTGACCCCCAGGTTTGGGTACATCGTTTTGCATGGCTGGCTTTTGTGGCAGGAAGCAAAATGAGGATGATGGGAGTATGATGTTAAGTGGTGTGATAGTCAAATTCTTTACACTGTGCAGACCGTAGTAAAACAAAAGAGCGGATTGGATTATTAACATCTCAACAGGAGTTGTGCGTTACTGCCTCCGACGCTGGAAATTACAGTGTTTCGCAGCTACTGAACACAAAAAGCAGTTTGGGAATAAACAGGAGGGAATCATTGTCAGGAGTAATTTTCATTCAAAGTATTTTCCAGCTCCGTGCTGCAAACCTTTAGTGTACGAGTATAGAAACATGTGGGTGGAAGATTCTTCCAGGAGGAGCACTTTACACCACATCCTTCTCACAGTTAAAAGATGAAAGTAACCTCAACTTCTCTCTCTCTCTCTCTCTCTCCCTCTGGTGAGCATTAACACTGTAGCAAACCTCCATGATCTGCTAAAGAACTTAAGAATTCAGTCAACAATAGCAACAGGGATCACACAAACTGTAGATCAACCCAGCCTTTTACTCCATCTATGCAACCTACCTTGTGGAGTATAGGGAGAACTGGATTTTGATTGTTTATCAGCATCATGGATGGAATGGATGGGACATTTTGCAAACATTTCTGCAGAGATAAGATGTCAGAACGTTTGCGAGATGTCGTCAAATTTTTGTTTTCATTGGCACAAGGAGGACGCCCCATAAATGTTTAACTGTGTCAGTGTTTTCACAGTAGTTCTGTGAATATTAATCTGCTTTAAAGATTAAAATCAGCGTGTAAAGGCACAGAGTGAACTTCTCCATTGCTACACCCCGATATGTTCCCAACGCTGAGCTTTGCTTTGTCCAACGTGGTTCTGGAGTGTAGACAAACAGTCCTTCTGCAGTTTCAAGCAGAATTGCATGCGATTACGGTTTGTGCAAACTTATTTCAGACTTAATCTCATTTTGGTTCGGAAACATTTTACCATAAATGTGTTTGGAGTTTTGTACCATGTCCTGACTTGCACTTATCGATGAAAGACCAAAAATCTATTCCTTTTTGCAGAAGTCAAAGGTTAAAGTCATGCATCATATCAAAGCCACTCGGTAAACTATCAGCAAGTACAAACTTTGGTTTGTTAAAAGGCACTATCTGGGATATCTTCATAGTTGAAGCTACTTTGATGAGCAATGAAAAGTGTCTGGCAGAGATATAAAAGCAGTTTTGTGTATGGTGAGCCACTGGAGTGTTTCAATTCTCTCCCACAAAAACAAACATGAGGCCGTTTAAATGGCCTCATGTCCAGCAGAGCCAGCGCAGGGCTTTGCTCAGCACCGCGCGTTGCTCTTAATGGGATTTGACAACATTAACATTCTACTGAGTCAGCATCGGACTCTGTGCCTGCAGTAGTCGATGTGCTGAGTACAGCCTGGGCTCTTAACTGTACATCTCTATTATTGTGCATGTGGGAAATATTATTAGGGAACGACTTAAAACTTGTGCATCACTTTCAGATACGAGATAAGTGGCAGAAGCTTTAGCATTCTCCAACAACAGTCATTGATCACACTCATGTTAATGTTGCTCAGGTTTGTTCGGACGTAGTAAAAAGAGCAAAATGTTTGATTCACGTGAGATTTAGCAGCACAAAGATAAACATATTAAGATTTAATATTGCAAGAATTTGGCATTATTCAAAACTTGCTAAAATATGCAAAACACATGGTTCACTGTCTTACACCATTTTGGTTTTAGAAGCCACAAACTAACTTTTGAATAACTCCAGTTTCACAGCGTTTAACGCCTGAGGTTAACCAATACTGGGTTCCTGGCAGAGCAGAGATATGAAAACGAGGTGCAAATGGCCAATACTTACTTGGCTGTACTTTTTTTTATATTATTAATATGAGGGTTAGAAAGAAATACAGAAAGGAGCCGTTACAGTTCACTCTGTGACCAGAAACTGAATTTTACTTTGATTGTTATGGCCAGTTTCAAACTCCTAAATCGATTTCATTTTGTTAAAATGGATCATTCCATTTTGTTAAAATGGATCAAGATGGAGTGCTTCATCACAAGATGAAGCACTCCATCTTGTGATCCGAGTTAGCACTCACCGAGACACTGTTCAGCAGAAGGTCCAGCAGAGACTGCACTTCTACAACCTTCTACTGGAGCTGCTGGTCATCTTCAGATTATGCAAGATCGCCAGGGCTGACCTTTCCTCCATCCAGGACTTGGACAGGTCCAGGGGTCAGGAAAAGGGCAGCAAACTTCTCGACACACCCCACACATCCTGGACACAGACGTTTATCCTCAGCTCTGCGCTATATGTAAAAACCAGTCGCCACAGACAATTTCTTCCCACAGACTCTCTGATGAACACCTTACAGTTTGAGAAGTCAACTGCTCTGATGTGAAACAAGAAAAACACTTCTGCACTGTCAAAATAACTCGTTGCCTTTATTAAAAAAAAACAAAAAAACGTACACGTGGCTGCAAACACACATATTGTTCCTTTGTGAATTTTATTTCCTCCATAGTCTATACATTTCTGCTTTATGTCTGTACACTGTGAAAACTTTACACACGAGTCAAATGATTATTTTTTGCACACAATCTCAGCCTTATTCTGATTATTCATATGTGCTGCTACCATATCACACTGGCAAGACAGTTTCTGCGTTAAAAATTCAGTCTTTTTCAGTTTTGATGACATTATTGGTCCAAACTGTGATGGCAACAAGACTCGGTCATCAACATTCGGTACAATTTGCTATAGGAGAGGAGTTTTTGTTTATTACAACAACCCGAAATGAAAATAAACCAAACAATGACAACAGTCAGCCAAGCTGCCACATCAGCCAACTATGTAGTCCATCTGCTGCTGGTCCGCCCACACGATCCTTTATCACACTTGATCTGGACAGCAGTCTGCCAGGGCCCAGCAGGGCAAAGCAGATGGTGTGGGCAAAGGCTGAGCACTTAGCCTCCACTAACAGGCAAGCCTTAAATCAGAGACAGTGAACGGAGACCCGCAGCCTCACTGCTGTACAGACTGAAACACGTTCCCAGCAGAGTGGTGCAATGCATGAATGACTAAGGGTTGTTAATGCATGGATGTGGTAAGATGGGGGTCATAAAAGACGAGCAGAGTCACTTCCAGTAGTTTGATGCTGACGCCATCTCTCCACAGACATTTGAGAAGTTGTCACTGTTATCAACTCTATGCGGCTGTTTGTTTGCTTTTCTTTCCGATTACATTAGATATTTTATAGTTTGAGTGATGAAACATACAACTCAAGTAAAAGTGACAGACACCTTCGGAGCCAACAGTTCAACAGGTTAGACGGTTTGAAAGCATCAAGATCCGCAACAGAACCGCACTTTCATTAGAAAAACTTGTCCAACTCTTACAAAAAAAATATCAATGTCTTGGTTTCTTCTTGTAGTCACTGTAACAGAGCAACGAAGTAACACAACGACACATTATTGTAGCTAAACAGAGTTTGGGAATCGAACTGATTGTTGAACGCGAAGAGAGTTAATCGGCACTCGAAGGAAAGTTTGTGTTTGAAGAGATTTGTGTTGTCCACTAAGTGAAGCCAAGCGGCTACAGTTAATATAGCTCTTTTAGACTCCGTTAACACCGTCCGAAGAGAAAAGAGAAATACAAACTTACCATAAGCAGCCTTCCAACGAACGCATCCAGGCGAGCCTCCGAGAAAAGCGACTCGAGATGGAAGAAAACCCCTCTCACGACTTCGTCTCTCCTCAGACAATCTGAGCGCTCGATAATAACACGCAAAATGTCGGGAAAGTGTAGCAAACAGCGGTGAAAAATGGCTGAATGTAGTCCGTTTTTTTTGGAGGGGGCAGGGAAGGTGAAATGACTGTGAAGAGGGAACGGGGAGGCTTTCTTTCTTTGTTCCTTCTGGCTGCAGCTTGTTCTGTGGATATATTATAGCCGCTCATGTGTCCCAGACAGCCGCTGATTGGCTGGAGCCACGGGATCAAGAAAAGGTGAGTGACGTCAATTTGGCCACAATAACGATGGATTTCCGGTCACGATGCCTTCAAACAAAATAGATGTAGCAAGAATACTGCTTAGTTAAGAGAATATTTTTCGCAATTTTAAGGAATAAAGCTACAATAGTAAAAATGTTAATGAATTTTATGTAGTGTTTATTGTTTGTACTTTCAAAAGTGCTGTACTTTTTAAACCTGATTACTTGATGCTTTTATTTTTGTATGATGTTTTTTTAGTGCTTCCTGTTAGATGCTAGCGTTTAACCTGCGGTAGGGTGGAGGCGCTTTCATGCTTTACATAGTTTTATACTGAGCATAATCAAAATATTCTGGTGCTTATAAAATTCATGCCTATGAAATTCATGTGATATGATCGTTTTCCCATATTTTTCCTCAGTTTTCATGTGTGAATCTAAAATTTTAAACTTTAAAATTTACTAACCCCTATTGTCAGTAAACTTCTAACTAACAGTCTTCCCCTGCTATAAATACACGCAACTTCTTAAGGATTGTCATTTTATTTTATATCTATGCGCATATGTTCAGCCTAACTTGGATCAGGCTGTATTTTGTGTTATTTCATGCTTGGCTTTGTCTAAAGTGGACAGTGTGGTGAAAATGACCTAAAATGATGCAAAAGGCTATCCAGTTCTATTCTTACAAGTGGAGTAATAGTTTCATTAATCTAAAACAGTGTTTTAGCTATCTCTGTTCAGTGTAGAGTATCCAGCTGTAGTTTTGGTCAGTCTGAGCATGAGCATGTAATTTTTTTTTAACCTAAATTCAGACTAAATTCAATTAAAAATTATTTGAAGTAGCAATTTAATTTAAAACCCAAACAGGGAGCTCAGGTTTTAACTTTATTACACAGCTGCAGTGTACATCAATGTTAACTTAAAGTTGTTAATCTCTGCACGAGAGCATTCATTAGCCAATGAGCAAATATGCAGATAATTGGGCTGGACAGCTGAGTTGAGCAGATTTGCAACCAATGCCCCACAGTTTTTAATGGGCCCATTATGATGGTGTCAAGCAGCATGTTTTTCAAGGTTTGTCATCAATAAAGCAATATCAATACCGATGAGATTCTGCAACTAGAAGACATCTCATGTCCCTTTTAGGAACTACATTCTATCCCCTAGGAGGTCAATGCTCACCCCAGAAGAGCAGGATTTCACAGAGACCAACTCCAGAGTTTGGGAGTGGAGAGGATTTAATAATCAGTTTCAACAGTCCCTGATTTTTAAAAGCATAAATTATTAAACCGCTGATATGTCTTGCTTCTTTGAAGTTTCAAAATACCATTAGCACTATTAGCTGTTTAGCTTTGGCAAAGAGAGGATTTGGCAAGTTCATCATGGTTGCTACCCACCTACTAAGCTTAGCAGCGAAACCCACACATTCGGGGGGTTTTTTCTTATTACAAATTTGGCACCACTAAATTGTCAACTAAACCCAACCTTTCTTTCTTTAAGAATATTGCATTTGATTTAAACACTAGATTAGATTTTTAGCCTTTCAGCTCATAGCCTTTTTAATGCATTTTTGTAGCTTCTAAAGCATTACTTGGCAGAAAATGCTATCTTTTTTCAGATTTCTGTTCACTCACATCTCTTCACGTACAAATCCACAAGAGAATATCCCACCAATCACTCCTTTGCATGCACTCATTGCCTGAGTGATTCTGTTATACTGATGGTCCTCTGCTTCACCACTTAAAGACTCTGTACAAAATCCAAAGACGAATACAGAAGAGACACGTGAGAACTGTGAAGGAGCAGGCAAACAGGGTTACTTTGTGAGAAAGACAAGGAAGAGGAGGGATATGGGAGCAGCCGGTGAGAGAGAAGACATAATGAAAGATAGGGAACGAAAACATCTGATGTAAAGAGGCCTGCCAGAGGACTTGGGGAGGAATCTGCGAGGAACAGCAGAGGCAGGTTTCCTTGAAGTCGGCCCCCCCAAAAAGCTGACAGGCAGGCAGATACATGCTGCCTCACCGCCTCAGAGCTTCGTTCAGCCAACAGCAGATATGTACGAGACTTGCCCTTACACAACTTGAGAAATTCTGCACTCCATTGTAGCTCTTAGTCATATGCACCTGAAGCTGCCTCCATCTTACTGAGACATGGTTTCAAAGTGAGCAACAAACATTTTACTGCTTGTGGTGACAGCTTATAGATAGATACATCCCCTCCACCCCCCCGCCTTGTGCTTCCAGTGTCGAGCCAGGCATCTCCTGGCTGCAGCGTCGCTCCTAATGGACAGGAATGAGAGTGCTATTGATCTTTTCCAACAACTCTTGGCAAGTGAGTTTATCAAAAATGTCGAACCAGACCTTTAATGACTCACTGAAGAATGGCTTGAAAACGCAGCTTTGTGTTTTGGACTGATGGTCAAGTGATACTGGCTATGTCAAGGGCATCACCTTCCAGTCCGTGGTTCTCCTATAAATTGATTAGAGGCCAGCTAACAGGAAAAGTCCTGTTTATGTTCCACAGAGAGTCTCTTACGAAAGGGAACTGATAACAATGCGGAATAGATTAGGGGTTTTTGCAGCACCTTGTTCTGGATAGGCAATATGGCTCACAACCCAGAGCGGCATAAACCTAGAGGGTGCATATACTAGAAAAATTGTATCTTTCTGCTTCTAATCTTCACAGTTTTGGCACCACCTGAGGTAAAATAATCAGACTTTGGAATGATAAAAGATTTTTTGCTTAGAAAAATCACAAAGTACAAAGCAAAAAATGAATAGATAAACCAGCTAAACCCAAATTACCTTACTTTTTCGGGTTAATTATAGATAAAACTCAGATTTTATTGTATTAAAGGGTCAGAAATGTGGACACAGATGCAGTGATGCATTTGTCCTTGCTGTACCTGCTCGGATTTTTGTCCTTGAAGAAGTGGCTGAGATTTTCTTGTTTTTGAGCTATGAAGTTTAAATTCATTGAGACTGTGCTAGCTGAAAGTCTCAGTGTATTGGACAAAAGAACATTTCCACCATTCTGATCTATGAAAATTTGACCTAATGTTAAAGAATTGGCAGCAGGCATAATTAGTTTGCAGTAATTTCAAGTTGTACAGCCTCAGTTGAATGGCGTGTCTATGATGTCATGAGCATTAGGCAGAATTTGTTCAAAAGCCTCATGATATTTAAACTGTGATCTTGTAAAAGCAGTGAAATATATTTGAAAGCTCAAATACTTGATGATAGATCATTGTCTTGTGACCTATTTAAAGATTGAATGGCATTTCTAGGCGACTGTAAGGGGAAGAAATGAGCCTTCAAAGAGCACAAGCTGTTTGATGATTTGAAAGCTTTTCTATTTCTACTCTATAGGAATAAATTACTTTAAAAAGTTTTCTTTCTTTAAAAGATATAAACAGAAGAATTCATAGGCATCATGTCCTGAAAGAGCAGCCAATTCTGATTTAGATTTGAACGGGTGAAATAGCACAAAAACTGCCGAAGTCATTAGATGTCAGATATGAACAGGAAAATAATCTGCAGAGGTAGAACCTCAACAGACTGAATGCCTTATATTAAAGTTCATAGCAGTACAGTTAGAAACAGCCAAAAAGAACGAAATAATTTGCTCTCCAAAAAAAGAAAGAGCTATTTCAGAGGAGACGGAGGAGGTACGGGCTGCCTTTTCTGCAGCCCGTACCTCCCGGCGGCATTCTGGAGTGCCGTCAGTCAGTGTAGCACCAGGGTTCTTCTTCCTGTAGCGCTGCAGAAGAAAAGTTATAGAAATAACTTTCTAAAAGAAACAATACTTGTAGACAGTAGGATGATTTTCAGCAAAATCCTCATCCATATAAGATGCTATTGGAGGCAGCCCAAGATTGTGCAGGACACAAAGCAGAGTTCGGTTTGAGTGGGCCAACTTCCAGTTCCATCAGTCAGCACCACTAATATTGTTTAGTTGGCCAATTTACACCTCTGATGTCATGGTTCACCAGTGTGCTAGGAAATTCTCTCTTTGCTTTGGCTAAGAGAGGATTTGGCAAGCCGACAGCTGAGCTAACCATATCACAGAACAAAGTTTGTCCTGGCTTCATATTTATGGCAAGCCTTAAATACAACAATGTAATCACTATATTTTTTTTACAAATGGTTATTCATTTATGAAATATATGTAATGTTTACCTTTTAATTTGAAACAAATACAGGATTAAATTTATCCCAAACATGTACATATATAAAGAGGATCCAGGACTGTGAATATTCCAGAGTAAATAATGTTTTATTAGCACTTCTGTACGTTTGTCTCATTAAAAAATGATACACACTGTATTGTCCAGTATATAATATTGCTAAAGTGCTTGCTTATCCAAAAACAGTTGTAGGCTATTTGAATGTGTTCGCTGACCTCTGAGGAAACTGGAGCTCAGCATAAGCAGAGATTGCTGCTGACTTGCAGGAAGGAAAGAGTAGCATTTTCTTCACTTTAAAGCTTTTATTAGAAGGGATTTCTTGTCTTAAACTTTGCAAAGTGCTTCTATGTGAAAGGCCGTTCAAAATGGAATCATAAATCTTTGGAGTGTCCCTTTAAGGACTAGTGAGGTTTCTTCCTAAGGCTGGATCTTAACAAAAATTGATTTCCATAACAGGTTCCGGAAATGAAGCAAAACGTCTTCGTGATACAATAAAAGTTTAAAAGGACTAGAACACTTTCAAAATTACCTGATTCGGATGAATACCCACATACTCATCAAGTACGTAACAAAAGTACTTAATGACCCTTTTCCACCAGTAAATGACCCTTTTCCACCAGTACCTAATCTGCATGGCTTAACTCGTTTCACGTTTTGTCGTGTCAAACCCAAAAACTTCAACGTACTCTATTAGGTCCACGGTGCAGGTGGACACATCTGTACCAGGACACATGCAATCTAAAAATCATTTTTTTATGAAAGAGAGGAAGGATGTAAGCCGTTGTGGAAAAGCGTCTTGATCAGTGGGTACTTGTGTTTTGGTAGTCAGTTGGTTCGTACTTGAACTTCTTTCGATTTCCGTTTAAATGCCTGCCTGCACATACAAGAAGAGAGAAATTTGTTCTCTCTCCTGGTGGTGCAAGAAATAACACTATTGAATTTAGGTGCGCTTAACTCTACGGCTCTCTAACGTGCTGGATATTGACCCTCGAGGACAGCTTTGGAGCACTGGTTTAGATCAAAGCATTTTCATGAGTTGGCATGAAAACTCGTGTTTCCAGATGCTCTCTGCCCGGTCTGACTGAGTCTGAGGTGTTTTACAGCGAATGGGCAAAAACAACACTGGTAGAATCATACCCCAAAGACTTGCAGCTGTAATTGCAGCTGTTGTATTGACTTAGCAGGCTGAATAGAAATGCATGCCTTTGTTTCCTAGCTTCTATTTATAGAAGAATTTTGAGAACCTGGTATAACTGTGCAGCTGCACAGTGATGGAATTGGTAGCAAGAAGATCCTGGGTTTATACCCCACCTCTTATCTTATGACCCCTAGAAATAGGTTATTTGTAACAGCTTCTTCGTCACCCTGGAATAACGAGCAGGTATAGACAATGGATGGATGGTATTATTTTGCTTTTATTTATCAATTCTGCACTACCTTGTGTCCTTACGCATAAAAAAGTATGAAACTTAAAACAGAAATCATGTTAAAGATGCTGCATTCAGGACTAAATCAGAGACTAAACACGGAAAACCATGTTTAACCTTTTACTTTTCATTTGGATGACAATAATCCACTGGTTTCCCCACTTCTTGCTTCATCCTACAGTGTTGTCCCCAGTTTTTGGTTAACAAGTGAGACACCACCAGCACCCTCGAGCTCTTCCGATTATTCCAAGAATACTGCCATTCATGGCAGAAACTTTCAGGAAAACACACTCCTCCCTTTCAGTCACACACAAAATAAACCCATGTGGTGCGTGAGTCACTCTGCTTCTGTAACTGCAAATGTGACACTGAGGTGCTGCTGTTCAGGTCCAGGAAATGAGCTGTGACTTAGGGAAGTGTGTTTCTCAGCCATCCCACCTTCTTTTTACCCGTATTTTTTCCCAGTTAGTGCATGCTACTCCTTTTTAGTGGAAAGATTCAGATGTTAGTATGTAATGGTAAAAAATGCTTGATGTGGTTGTATTTTATTTGAATATTTTATGTGTTTTGGACTTCTACAGCAGCAGGGTGTCTTTTTGCAGTTCCTGCTCTAATATCTCGCTGGAGGAGGTCACAGAGGCCATCTGGGCCCGACCACACTGCCACCTGCTGGTAGGAAATATGTTTACAACTATCACACAAAACATGAAAACAAAAGCTAACCTAAAACTATCTGGGCTTTTTTTCCCCTAGTCCAATAAGCAGAGATGTGTAGTAACAAGTTACATTTAATTTAGTAATTATTTTTGGTAAAAAGATACTTGAGAAAGTATTTTTACTACACCATAGTTTTACTATAATGTTTGAAGTACTTACAGCATTTATTTACTGCATGCAGAACAATGATGTAAAACAAAGAGTCTTATGTTAAAAAGACATTTTATTTGAAAAAGTGTTTCTCCTGCCTGGTTTATTTCTAATTTTGGAATTACCAAAGTTTGCCCATAACTTTAGATCAGTCTGAGTGTGTATTTGTTTAAATATTTAGAACAAATGTCTTGATCAAACGGTTACTCAATACTGCAGAAGACTTATAATTTTTTTTTTAATTGGTTTTTTTTTTTTTTTTTTTTTACAAGCAAATGTATTAATCCTTTATTATTAGTCATATCCAATGAAATGACAGGCTAAGCCACAGTTTACATTGGACTGGACAGTGGAGGAGGATTCCTAAAATGGTCCAGTGTGCTCTGAAGTGAATATTTGTTGGTTTTGCTCCTTTTGATTTCTTAAGAAACTTCTCAAAGCTATATTTGTCTAAAATCCCCACCAGCTGAGTAAAGCCAAACAAACCTAAATCCAACATCAAATCATGCTGCATTCAGTGTACCTTGGCAGAGTCCAATAAAATCCAGTTTACCCTTGGGTTTTGTAATATTTACATCATTACCTCTTTATTCTCACAAAACATTTTAGTGGATGTTAAAGTAGAGATGAAAATCAACTCCTTGACAAATTTTTGATCTGTGGGTATTAAAACAGCCCTGGAGACAGATGAAGCAAATTACTTGAAACCATCTTGTTTGTTCTTCAGGTACTCATTCAATGGGGTTGTTGTGTATTTTTGCTTTTCTGACTCTTAATCAGAATCAGAGCAGACAAAACATTATACTCAAGCAGCAGTAGCATTACTTTGATGAATGTTTACCCAAGTACCGCAAGTAAGATCCTTTTAAAAAAAAAAAAAAGCTGTTCTATTCAGGCAATTTTGTCTTGGTCAATCAAATCATATCCTTAACTTTAAGTTTATAATTTGACAAAAATGCCAAAAAGTTATTTCAAAACCCTACAGATATTTTAGGTCAAAATACTAAAAACATAAGCAAAACAATCAGGAAGAGAAAGAAAAAAAAAAAAAGCTACATACACTTCTTTCATTTTATTGACATTTTCTCTTACAAAAACAGGTAAAACCAGAATGCATAGACTAAGCCTCAGCAGGCTCATCTTTGACATGGAAAAAACCCAAAAGGGGGAGAAAAAATAAAAAAAAAAAAAAAAAAAAAAAAAGAACACAAAACACTGTCTTCAGGTTTTCAACACACTTCTATATGGTCTCTTCCATACAAAATACAAGCCAATGAGAACTGTTATGTGACTCATGTAGAAATACAGACAGATGCAAACTCACTGACACACAAAGGCAAGTAGGAGGGCAGAATAAATCCTTCAGACAGACAATAACACAAGGGAGGAAATGTCTACTTATGAACACTTTAGAGGTCTCTTCATCCCACTACAACTCTTCACTGATATCTACATGACAAGTTGGCAACAGATACCTGATAGGACAGCTTGAAATGAAGGAAAAAGAAAAAAAATTGAATTACGAAGTGTCAAGATCTTGAGATTTTAGTTCATATTTGCGTGGAAGAATAATTTCTGGTTAGGGCCAGTGGTCCCATAGATACATGTTGACAACTAGAAGCAACTGGGGCCTGGGAACTGGAATCATTAACTGATGGTCCGACACCGTGGGAACACAGAGGGTTCCCCCCTGCTGTTTTCATCATAAAAGTGAACAAAACAGGGTGGGGTCATATCAAAGGTCAGTTCTGAAGCTGGAAACCGGAGACTGGAGCATAGAGAAACTCTCAGAACTACCGTGTGAAACGCCGGGCATTTCGATGTAAAAAATTGAGACTGAGAAATCATTTCAAAACTGTTTTCCACATATCTTGACTTTACACTATTCACCTGGAAACAATCAGGGGCAGTAATGAGAGTACAAATCAGCGGTAACCATTTTGCACAACTGTTGGCAACATTTCAGTTCCAGCATTTAGTCTTCTTCAGTTCCATTCTATCTGAAGGACCTGAAATAAGGTCCAGCTCTGTCAGCAGATTTTTACTGACATCTGCTTCTCTTGCATAGACATTGCAAATAATCTCAGTGTATAAATGTATCAGTCAGGAGAAGCGCATACAATTAGTTCTATGGCATTATATTTAAAAAAGAGGGGGGGGGGGATAGTCCTGATTACTAAGAAAAATAAAGTATAACAGGGAGGTTGAAAAAAATTATGCTTTAAGGAAATTGATGAAAAGAAATGGGCCAGGAAAGCTGGAGAGAGGCTGAAGTGATAGTAAAAGTAACTACAATAACTATTTTGTTCTAAAAAAAAAAAAAAAAAAATGCACCCAGACCTATCTAAAGTCTCCTAAAACCTTGTGGGTCAATGTGTTATTTTCCAGTGGAGCCTAAGTCCTGAAGAAATGCGGCACATCAGCAAGAGAACATCGTATTTACACCCTAACATGGTGGTGGGAGCATCACAGTGAGGGGCAGCTCATCTTCAGATGCAACAAAAGTTTGTGTTAAGATGGGAAAAGTTGTGAAAATTTCAAAAAGCAGGTTCGGATGCAAAATCTTTAGGTGTCTGCTGGCAAGCTGAAGACAGAGCTTGGAAACAGACCAAACCTCTGGACACGTCAGGCAGTGTCCAGAGGAGAACCTAGCCGTACGGTCACATGAAGACAAGAGTGGGTTTCTGACAAACTTTAGTAAAGGCTTTAGTAATGATGCGCAAACTACGGTAGCTAGGCCTTAGCAGGGATTTCCTTTCAACATTTCTTTTTTGTTTTTATTAGTTACCTTGTACAAAGGTATTTTTTTTCAGGAAACAGTATTAAAATGATTCCTCACAGTCCCAGAAAAACATGACATTTCAAGTTGAAGACTGCGCTCAGGCGTTCGCTTTGGGGTGAATTATCACAAATGAAGTCAGATCAGAAATCCGGTTTTTGCCTACGAAGATAAATCTGATCTCTGCAAACAACATTTATGCACAGAAAACACCAAAAATAAGAGTGAAATGCTTCACATATAAATAGTAAAACATACACAGACGTGAAGGTTTAATGAATGTGCGTTTATGACGAGCAGTTTATTGTCCACTTCGCTGGCTAAACACTAGGGGTGTCCTGATGTAAACACAAGAGGAATATCCTCACCTGTAAAACAAGCCTGTCTCCACCACAAAGTTGAGGGGAAAAAAAAAATTATAATAAAATAAAAAATCATGACTTCTGGAGAAATATATGGAAATACCTTCTCTGTAGATAACTGTAACTAGTAATGGGATAAGTCTGCTCTCACCTAGATAAAATGTACTAAATGTTTCCCACGACGGGCTCAAAACCGCAACACAATCACATTTTAGAGGCAATATATATTTATCTAAGTGGGTATATATACATCTATATATATATATCAAAAAAATCACAAATTTTGTTAGAATTTGTTAATTATATTAACTTTTTAATTCACAACATGGGTGAGTATCATATCCTTTCTTGGCTCTTCTTTATGTACATTCAGTTAGTTTGAAAACTGGATTCGGTTCTGCTGGAGCCAGATGACTTTTCACTTAAAAAACAAACACCCACTGGTTCAGAAGTCAGCCGCGCCTACAGACTTCACTGCCAACCACCGGCTGACTTTAAACCGTGTATGAACTCTGTAAACGTGTCTGTTCTGATAGAAACTCCAATACTGAAAATGCAGAAAACCTCTCAAATGAAAACTTGTGCGACTTGTCTGCTGTGCATCTCTGTCTGCGGGTCGTTTTCACACAAGGCACATCATCTTTTCCCTCCTCTGCCCTTCAGACAATCTTTCTTTCTCGTCGTTCCACCGCAATTTGATTCTGAAGGATGCAGGGAGCAATATGTGCTACTTTAATCATCGCGAGGACTACAACAGGTTTTGAACTGTTTTTTTTTTTTTTACTCCATTTTATGCAGTTTGAACCGATTTAAAGGCTGTAGGTCAATTGGATGGCTTGCCTGGTAAGGAGGTGTGAGAAATATGCAAGTAAAATCATTTTACTGCAGCAACATAATCTTGCTATGAAAAATAAACTTGTAATTTATTCAGGTGAGAAAAAATTAAATCGCATAAAGGAATAACTGAATAAAGTCATAGATGGCACAACAACTGGGCTGCACAATACAATTTTACTATTTCCAATATCAAAATTGGAAAGGATTCTTCTACTTTATATTTTGGTAGGGTATTATTCTCACTCTGGATGCCAGTGAAACATCTGGCGAGTTGAAAAGCCTTTTACTGCCCCAGATGCCAACATCTGGTGTATATTTCACTTACTAAAAGATGAGGGATTTATTTAATTTTATTTTTATTTAACCTTAATTTACCCAGGATAAAACAAAATCTCCTTTACAAGACTGTCCTGGGATAAATATAGCCGAATATCATCCTCAATACAGAAGAAAATTGTCCCATGCCATAGTAAAAATAACTGGTAGTAAAAATAACTGAACCCTGTGGGACTCCGCCACTAACGCAAGTAACAATAATGCAGTCACATGTTTTACTGACATGGTACACGTCTCCTGGCGGATAGGCTGGTCCTACACCACACAGTGAGCGATCCTACCTCCATTTGTTTGGGCCGATGCAAGCAAAAAGCCATTTGTGTCAATACCATCACAAATGTAAACATGGGGAGTTTGAGTTAGTTTGAGTATCGTAAAAGAACTGCTGAACAGGAAGGAGAGCACTTTATGTCCAATGTTAAACACAAGAGAATCCGATGCACTTCTCCTCCAAAGCAACTGGGAATATTGAGTCTATTGTATCAGAAGCTGACCATGTTGAGAAAAATAATGACCAAAAACATATGACCAAATTTACACCAAAATATTTTCCCATGGTCATCCCCGTCCTCAAATGTAACCCCAACAGAAAATGCTGGGGTGAGTTGAAAGGAGGACGGGATTTTCGACAATTTTCAGTGACTATGAAAACAGAAATGGTCCAACATCTTTTTGTTTGTATGCTCCAACATTTAGCCTCCAAATGCTCACCTACTGGCAAAACAGACATTTGGATAAGTTGCTGCCAACAGCAATGGCAATCATTGGGCCACCAGTGATTTTATTCAAAATAATTATGAATAAAGATCAATAAAAGCAGTCAAATGATGGGTTGAAATTGTTCAGATTTTCAGCGAGATTATGCTGCTGCAATAAAATATGCATTTTAAGGCTTTCCCCCCCCACATCTATACAGGAGTTGCCAACAACTTGTCGGGTTCCTACTTCAGAACTCTGAACCTGAACAAGGGGCAGAACAGAAATCAAAACAATGACTTCCAGAGTGAATGTGAGTATACTTGTGCCTTTTCCTTTGGTTGTAAAACAAAACTCCAAGGCCTTGCTTTTGAGACAAAGACCGAAGGGGCTTTCTCTACCCATTTCCATCAAGCAGATTGTTAGCAGTGCCAACTAGTGTGCAGGTGCTGCTGTTTTCTCATCTCCTTCTCTGATCAGGGCTAGGGTTACACCAACTCTCTGAGGGGTAGGGAGGTTTTAACCGTTCAGGAGGTAGACAGCCAGCTCATAGGTGCACATCATGATGGCGGTGTTAGGGATCTGGCGTACCAGGTGGGTGGTGAGGCCGCGATACAGGGCGCGGTATCCCTCCTCTCTGGGTACTGTGGTTAGAGTCTGGAAGAAGGAACGATACTTGGTGCCCTCTTCTCGTAGCCTGGTGCGGATTACCTCTGCAAATTAAAACGATTTGGGTAAGTACAAATTAAAAGAGGATTGTAATTTAGCTTTAGCTACCTATAGTTGATCTCCAACTCTCACCATGAGGATAAGCAATAGTTGTGGCACAAGTCTTGGATGTGGCAGCAGCAAGCATCATCCCAACAAAGTCCGAAGCATCTTTTGATGCCTCTTCTTCTTCGTCCATGTTCTGCGGCGTTTTGGCCTCCAAGAGGCGCCGCTTAATGTTTTCATAGATAACAAAGTGGATCACAGTCTCTGAGATGCCGGCGTAGGAAGCAGACATTCCCCTGTAGAATCCACGAAAGCCGTCTGCTTTATACACCCGACGAACGCACTCCAACGCACTCATCCTCCGCTCCCCTCGATTCCTGAAATAATAATAAAAAAAAAAAAGAGGGATGTGGAATGATGTGAAAAGCACAAAGCATCCTCTGGTATTTGATTTGCATATGGCAACAGAGGCGACTTAAAAATACGCTCAAGCAAATACTGAGAGCATTACTTCAAGCAGACTTAACATATTTACAGGCAAAGTTGGGTTTTTCTCCATTTTGAAAGCATGCATTTATATTTTGCTCAGTTTTTGATTAAAAACTGCTGTGAGTTTGTTCTTCCAGAAAATGGCCATTTTTGAATCTGTATACTCTAGTTAATGACTGCCAAATTAGTTGATGATTATTTCAATTATCAATTCACTACAATAAATCGCCTTAATCATTTCAGCCCCAGGATCTTTTCCTCATACCATTAGATTTTGTTTAATTAAGTACCATTACAGAGGCAAGTTTAATGCTTGTTAATGAGCTTCTTTTAACATGGTACAATTAGTTCCCAGTATACAAGTAACAAATCACAGAAGTGATTATTATAAATGGTAAATAAACTTGTGGTTTAAGGCTTTGCATTGTCATTTTGAACAAAAATCCTGAATATTTTAAACAATCATAAAGTCAAATGCTGTCCCCAACAAGAATCAACAAAGCCTTTAAAAAAAAAGAAAAAGAAAATCAATAAAAAAATTCAGAGAACTCCCACAAGTCAAAATCAAAGCAGCTGGTGTTCCCAAAAAAGTCATCCTGCAGTTTCTACATCTGCCATCTCAGTGTAATGTTTACCTTGCATCCAACTGTAAGCGCGTTTTTATGAGCCATACTGGATTTGTTGCTGTGATGGCTGTAAAACCTAAGGAAGGAGAGAAAACGGGAGGATTACACAACCAGAAACTTCTAAAATACAATAAGCTGTGTTTTAAGTTGCCATTTGTGATATTTATCGATACTGTAAAAGCACAGCAATGTGTAAATGTTCTTGTAGCTGTGTCCATGTCAGCAGCAGAATAAAATGGTGAAAACTTGTTTTAAAACTACGTAAATCTAAGCTCTATAAAGGCATCTTATAGAAGGAAAGATAGCCTTTTTATAGACCATCAGGTGTGAGTAACAGCATGTCAGGGAGGCTGTATTTAGCTGTATTAGCTTTTACAAATGAAGCAAAAAAAAAAAATTAAAACATAGTAAGGGAGGAGGGGACAGAAATACTGAAAGAGAAAGAGAAGAACCAGGTACAAAAAGAGAGGCACAGATCTGTGGTGAGTACTCACGCAGACCCAAGTAACTCCTCACAGATGCAGCTAGAGACCCCTGGTGGTGCGGGGGTCTCATGCCCTTGCGAGAGGAGAGCTACGGTAGAGTAAAAGCCTAAAACAGACACAGGCTTGTGTGTAGCAACATGACCGGCATGCAACCATTTGACTCCCCATTCCCCACAAAAACACAGGAATTAATCCACCACAAACCGAAAGACGAACTATGAAAAAATTATCATCATCAAACAGACGACACGAGAGGAACAGGGACAACTGAACAGTGCAAGTAACCTTATTTTCAGCCCTCTAATATAATTCTCCAGCATTTAGATGCTATTTGTTTATTCTGAAAATCTTTCTTCATACATTTTTATTACCATCAAAATAATGTTGTTCTGCACATATTAAGAGAAATATGAAGCAGAGACAAAAAAAAAAGAAAAAAAAGAAACAAATCTTATTAATCTAAAGCAGCTTTTCATGGACCATGTCATAGGAAAGCACTGTGCTCAGTCTGCTGACACTTCATCCAGTTCTGCTCTCACAGTGCAAACACTAAAGAATGTGTGGAGTGAAACCGAAGGGAGACCCACTGACACATGCCGACCTTGACTAGGCTTTTAAACGGCCAAAGTTACGGTCCACTAAAAGCATCGGTGGAGTCCACTTTCTGTTTCACCCAGTACCACACACACACACACATACACACACACACACACACACACACACACACACACACACACACACAAAGCTCTAGCTGTCTGACTGTGTGACTGATAGATCTGTTTTCTACAGAAGGATTAGAGTCCTTCAGAGCAGAAACCAACAAAACACCACTCCATTACTGTATTGGTTTTTTATTTTATCTGTTGAAACAGAACAATTTTTTTAGTAAATACAGTCCTTCTTCTTATGGTACACCCAACAACTTTTATTGCGTTTTTCAGGTATTTTATGTAGAAGACCAACACAAAGTTGTTTACCAAGTAGCTGGATCTCCCAACCCTGATTTGTTTTAGAAAACCATCTCAAATTTTCCTTTCACGTCATAGACCAACACAACCTTGTGTTGGTCCATCTCATAAAATTCATCAAAATAAAAGTTTGAATTTGTAACATGACAAAACGTGAAAAAGGATTCAGAATTTTCTCCATAAGTCATTATCTGGTTGTTTAACTTAGTTTTACTTCAGGCACTATAAAACCAAAGCAGAAAACTACTTCTATAGCTCTACATAGCAGTTAAAAAAAAAGAAAACACTGCACTCAAGTCTGATCGGGTTGCTGTTAGCACCACAGTAACTAACGGCAACCTGACACTAAACCACACAGAAAGCATTTGCTGTAAAAAAAAAAAAAAGCTGCTCACTTGGCTGCTGAATTTGACACGGCACTGCCCTGTCAGTCTGATCTCATGGTTCCCTGCCATTCCAGCTGACAGCATGTGCACTTGCGTGGAGTCCGGTTCCAACACTGCGTTCAGCTTCTCTTTGGCGGTGGAGTAAGCAGCAAAGTAGATTGCTCTGTTTGAAGGAAAAGCAACAATTGGATCAGTGGGTGTTTTACCCGAATGAGGTCAAACAAGCCAAGTAGGCCACTTTTTATTAATTTCTCTACAAAACAAATTTCTTTAAGCCTCCAACTGCAAGTCAGGTTCCTAATTACACACAGGCAGGATCTGCTCAGTGAGTTTTAACAATTCATGAGATGAAATACCAACAGCAGAATTAATTTTCACCGTCTCTTCAGACAAACGCCATTCAGAAAATAAGGCACACACTTGTTTTTTTGTTTTTCATTTTCAGTACAACGGTTTGTGTGCGTTGCAACGCCAATAACAATGCATATCCATCATGTTATCTAAAGTTCAGCTTTGGAGGTGTCTTCACTTTTTTATTTTGCTGTGAAAGCAGAATTCATTGATGTAATCAAACACTATGTACTCTGAACAGTGCCACCTGTTCCCCTCAGCATCAGCTCTGTGCCATTAGTCCTCCCTTTCTTCCTCTCATTAATGTGGAGAAACGCACTGGAAATCGCCATCTGCGAGTTTCCTAATTACGCTCTTGCTGTTGTTGCCATGTCTCCAATGCGCAAACTGCTGAGAAAGCCATGAGCATGAACGGCACCTTAATGACAGTGCTGCTTTAATGTGTCTCTGTTTCCAAGTAACCTCAAAAAACCTTGTAAGTGGCTCATAATGACAGCTAGCCTACAGAACCCGTCCATGTTTACGTGGGATTTTAGCAAAGCAAACCCCAAAAACAAACCCAGAAAAACAGAGTTGCCACTGAGGTAAAAACTGTGATTTTGACGTAGAAGTTCTGTTAAAACCTGTTTTTGTTATTAGTATTATTGCACACACTTCACATTTAGAGAAAACTGTGCATGCCTAATACATGCTACAAACTAGAAATTATAAAGCTGTTTCTAATTAAAAAAAAAAAAAGATATTTGTATCCGTCTGATTTATCTTCATGTATTAAACCTTTGTCATTTTTTTCTGGTTTTATTCAACTGATGGACTTTTATTTTCAGCCATCAGGGGAGTGGGAGTAACTCCTCCAGCTAAGCTAATATTTCAGTGTTTGAAAACATTTTCATTAGAAAGTTTTACAATGTTTAACATATATTTCTTCTATATAGCATAAACCAATCAAATGGTTACAGTGGACAGATGGTGACTGAAACATACTTGCTTCAATCACACAGGCGTTAGCTTAACATGAGCAAGTCCAACAGTGTCAATGGACATAACTGACCAACAGTGAGCTTCTACAGGAAAGATTGAGAGTTTTGGAGTACAAAACTTCAGTCATGTCATATTTGACTGTGTTGGGAACATCACAGTTCCCAACACAGAACCCTGTGGATCTCCTTTAACTACCAAAACAACAAAGAAATAAAAGACAGAAAGTAGTGGCAGAATTATAATACTAACTAATAAGGTTTGTCAAAAAATATATTGAAAGAAAAGGTTTCCATGTCTTGATTTAATGCTGTTGAGGGTATTTATTCAGATAGATGCTGTGTTGACCATTAGAGCAGAAGAGAGCTCACCTGGAAGGTGCCACGCCCACTAAGTTTGGCCCCAAGCCTCTGAAGAGAGATCGAGGTCCCTCTTTCTCCAAAATCAGTCTGAGTACGAAACACACAAACACACATATTTATCTCTACAATCACATAACTGTTAAAGAATTAACATATTTCCCCAACAACTATGTACAATCTAAATTAAAACCAGTCTTTTCTGTTACAGTCGGTTTTTGGTCTAAAATATTTCATTTTGACTCATGATGTTGAACAATTTGTCATTCGATGTTGGTGATGGCATTTGTTGAAGCTATTTTTTGCTACCCCTCTCACATCGCCATGAAACCAAACCAAACTCTATTCAAGTGGCAGAGGAACTTTGACCTACATGCAAAGCCTAAGATGTGTCAGTGGAACACAATTATAAAAATAGTCTGACATTTTTGGATTCTCAGTCAAGGTCATTTGGGCATACAATAATAAGCAGGCAAAAATGTATCAGATATGAGCTCCAACATTATGCTCCGCCCCCCGAGTTATTTCTGTTCACACATTTTGGATCTTATTTCCCTTTAATAACCATGCTGAGTCATGCTCTGCCAGTAATCTCAGGATTCCCGTAAACAACTTTCAATTTATGATTGTTTTTGTTGTTGTTTCTTTTGGTTATTATTTTTTTTAAACAGTTTGTCCAATCACTGAGATCATAACATTTGGTTTCAGGAAGTGGTTACTGTGGCCACTTCCTGGGGGACACTGGACACAGTAAACAAAAACAAAAGCCACAATGCGGTGCAAGGAGCGAGTAAAGAAAGAGCCAGAGCCAAATGTTTCACATAACAAAAGTTGTACTAATCTCACTTTAAACCTGGTTACCAACTAAAAAGGGCGTACAAACATAGCAGAGGCAGGTGCACATTTATAGGTGTAAGATTCATAGGTCTTTCATCATTTCACATTCTACACTATGACAACAAACAATATAGTTTGCTGGGATTTTAGCTGACAGACCAACACAAAGCAGAGCGTAGTTTTAAACAACAGAAAATTACACACAAATATTTTTACTGAAGAAATGTGAAGTTCTATCATCATCCTGATCATCTCATCTCAACAGTGAAGCATGGTGGTGGCTGTAAGCATTAAGTGGCAATGCTGTTCTGGCGCGTTGCCAAGGGCTTGTCTTAAAGAAAATCTGTTAGATGCTGCAAGTCTTGAGAATGGAGCAAGACTGACTTTCCATTAGGACAATAACCCTAATTATGCAATCAGAGTTATGTGTAGTTCAGAAAAAAAATTATAGTGGCATAACCCGCGTCTGCTTGAGAATGTACACAAGATTTAAGAATTCATGGCTCGCTCTCCGTCCAATCTGACTGAGCTTGAGCTATTCAGCAACCAACAATGGGTAAAAGTCTCAGTCTGTAAATGTGCAAAGCTGAGAGACATAAACCAAAAGATCTGCAGATTTAGTTTTAACCAAAAGGTGGGTCTACAAAATATTAACTCAGAGAGGACTGAGCGCAATACACCTTTGAGATTTTAATTTGTATTCCTCCTTACAGATTGTGCTGCTCTATAACATAAAATCCTTTTAAAATAAGTATGTGTGGTTATATCCTGATAAAACTGTTCAGAGGAGAAGAATGCATTTGAAAGACTTGGTATCTCCATTTGAAGACAAAGTATATTCTGTATTTATGAGTCTAAAAGGAAAGAAACTAGTCGACTACTCACTTTAGACAGTGCAAGGGGCCTGGTGGAGACACACGGGTCACGCTGGGCCCATTGACGGTACTTAGCTGGACCTCAGACACATAGAGGGTGATGGAGGAAGACTGCAGACGAGTCTTCACCACTTCCAGTGGGCACGTCAATATGGCTCCTACAGTGCCCCCACATCTGGTATAAAAATAAAGAAGACAAGCAAGACATAAAAAAATGATGACATCAAATGCACAGGTTTTTAAACTCTAAAATTCACCTTTTCAAGTGTTTTTCTGCTAAAAACACATAATCTTTCAATACTGTAAATTTGTGTTTAAAATAGAAAAAATAAATAAAGATAGGTCAGCAAGACACAAAGACATAAAATGATAAATTAGTTATTTACTTTTTTTTTAAAGCAAATTTTTATAAAGCCTATGCTCACCAAAAAAATAGAATCTACATGTGCATGAAACCAATCTTACTTCACATTCCCTCCCTTAACTTTCTTTTTCAGTGAATGTCCTACCAGAACCAAAGCATTCCTAAAAAGCAGCTCAGCTGTTTATAAAAAACCTAATCTCAGACACACTGATAACAAAAGACAAAAACAATATGTACATGTGCTACATGATTGAGCCGATCAAAGCAGGACCACACTGGGCTGGGCACGACCAGAGTAAGGAATCTCAGGTGGGTTTATCTCTCATTACTGGTTAATTTTCAATCCGTAACAAACCAGTTGGAGGGGGTCCGGTTAGAGAGCGCTTTAGCAGGCAATGGACATACAACTACCGTAGAAAACTGAAGATATACGACTTCTCACTAGTGAAAGCATGAGGGGATGAGCTCAGGATTGAGTTATTTAGCATATACACAACAGGGATGAGTGCAATCTCAGCACTCAAATGATCCTGGTTTGATTTATTCAAAACAGATTTTATTTAAGGGAAAAACTGTTTAACATCAAAAAGGAGAAACCTGACAGGTCTAGGCTCATAAAATAAAAACAAAGCCACAAAGTTGCAGAAAAAAACTGCAGTGAAAGCTGGGCAAAGTGCTCAAAGTTACATTCTACTCTAATCTTTTTTTGTAAATATTAAAACTCATCTTTAAAATATGATTAATCCAAAACCAGTGAAAACAGACCAGTAGGTCATGGCATTTGTTTGTTCATACTGGGCCAGGTACTGCTAAAGGTCTCTACCTGAAAAGATCTGTTCTCGCTTAGGAGGAGGGACTTTTGCAATATCAGTGGTTAAATGCAATCTGTTGGGCTTCCCTTAGAGAGATAATTACCAGTAGCATTATGAACTGCATATAGTTGGATTGTAGTAAAAGTAGAATCAAATTTGACAGCATTGAACTGAATTCAAATTAGCCTATGAGTGAATTGTATTAGATGACATTTAATAACATATTTCTTTGTAGTTGTACATGGTTTAAATCCTATTGTTTTGCAAGGAACTTTGGGATATTTCTTGTGAAATTGAGATATGTAAAATGAAACTGAGCTGAATTATCGGCGTATTCGCAAACAAAATGTCATTATTATACATTTTCTAAAATATGTAAAGTGGGGTTAAATAATGCAGTGTAAACAAATCTTCATTACCATGCTTAAACTGGATCTAGCAAAGAATGAGACATTCAGATATTGCTTTCTATCCAAAAACTCCTGTTGGTATGTAACTTCTATATGCCATTTTTCTTGCATTTTTATGCAATTCGGGCTAATACGCAGAGGCTCTGACACATCTGTATCACACTGCACATTAAAGCGGAAAAAATAGTGATTATTTCAAAAATAAATAAAACATAGGAAATAGTATTGCTTTTACTGATTGTTAATGAAAACGGAAGGCGTTACCACAAGCTAGCCATTTCATTCATATATATAACTGTCATTGAAGTGTCAGCACGTACGGGTACACAATCAGGGACAAGCTTTTTGTAGCTCATATCTGTCAAGCTGATGTTTAAGCTACACAGTTACAAGAGTACCTTTAATAACATCCCACTTACATTTACATACCACTGTAATTATTGAAAAGCTTCAACTAGCTGGTCGCTGCTAGCACAGAGCTAACTAGCTTAGCTTCTGGCGTACACGACTGTAGAACATACTCACCCTCCAGCAAACAGATGAACTAAGGTATCTCTTTGACTCATTGTGTATCATATTCGAGAACCGTCCGCGGAGAGCCACACAGCAGCGAAGGGAGCCAAGGATGTCAAGCCACGGGGTAAGCGACCCCGAAATGACAAACAGCGACACTCTGTCCGTCTGTCTTATGTTCGAGGTCAGCTGCATACAAGAAAACGAGAGTAGGTAACAGCTAACTGAGCTAGCTCACGTTAGCTAACGAAGCTAACAGGTTTCCGGTGATAAAGGTGGATGTCGGAGTACAAGCTTAGCGTCTCCACCTCCCGAAACAGGACACTACTTCATTAAAGTGTTCGTATCTGTAAAGTAGCCTATTAATTCCAGTCTAACACTGCGACTTGCAGAAAGGGGAGGATTCGCTCTGACTGACCTCCCCACGTTGACGTGTTTTGCCTGACTGTGTGCTCAGCGGGTCAGGTCGCAATGTTTATCATCGAATGGCAAGCCGCAAAACAGTGAACGTAATTGGCTGAGGGGTGCCTAAGGCCCGCCCCGTCACTACTCATTCACGTGATAGCCGCCTTTATTTTGAAGGGCAGAGATCATCGGAGCTGCAGAGGCGATGAGACCTGAGACTGGGTGAAGAGTCCGAGTCAGGAAATCTGACCGTTTTCACTGGTTTTGGATTAATCATATTTTAAAGATGAGTTTTAATATTATGCCAAAATGACCTCTTACGCTGTAATTTGTAATAGTTGTAAAAATTGTTTTGCTCTACTGTCTTTCACTCAGACTTGAAGCAGAAATATCCGTTCATTGAATTCAGTTTGCTCTGTTTCTTTAGCAATGACGGTAAAACACATCTTACATATTTGCATAGTAACCGTTTTATAGCCAACTTGGATGATGAGACATTTGGACCTTGGACTTTCAAGATAAAACGCAGCAGAACTCTCACCTGAGTTCCTGAAGAGAACTGATACAGAATCCTTATGCGGTTGGAGTTGGCAGTTCATTATTCATTAAATATGTTCCATTCATCCATCCATCCATCCATTATCTTTACAGTCTTATCCCTAGTAGGTTTGCCGGGTTGCTGGTGCCCATCTCCAGTGGTCACAGAGCGAGAGGCGGGCTACACCCTGGACAGGTCGCCAGTCCATCGCAGGGTCTCATCTATGTTACATAACTCAAATGGGTTGCAAGTTATGTTTTTTCTTCTGAAAGAAAAAAACATAATTTTTTGAGAAAGAAATAAAGTTCCATCTGGCAGTTAGAACTCTAACTGCCAGATGGAGTTCATGATCTAAAGTTTTGATACAGTAGCTCTTTTTAGACAGTATAGACTGATTGGTGGCAACTGTGAGAGAAAAAAGAGAAGACAACTGAAGTATGCTCCGCATTGGACATGAGGTTTCCAAAGTGGGACAGGAAAATAAAACTCATACTGCCTTTAATTTTATAATTACAGATGCCTTTTAACTGCTTAAGATCATGTGCTGCTACTTCCCATGTTATCACATTACTTCCAGATAATACGGAAGTCAGAAGCAGCACAAGGCGCTGCTGGAGAAAGTTTATAATCTATAGGTTGTCTTTATTTTTTTAGGGAAGCACTGTAAGTCTTAGTACAGACACCAATCCATTTTCTATTTTTAGAGCATTTGTCTGTCTTCTATATAGTTTATAGGCCAAATGAAGCATTTCTTTTAAACAGTTTAATACAGTGAATTAAAAAGCAACAATAGCTACACTATTTGTCTTTAAATAGATTTTATATTCCTCTTCAAAGCACAGTCTCCAATCTGTACCCTTGCAGAGTTGGAGACGGGGTCGTGGTGTAGGAGAGTGCTTGCCATGTGTTTGGAGGTAGCCTTACGACCTTATCACCCCAAGTCATTTTGCTGAGTGTGCTGCTTGAATATGGGGTACTGTATACCCATTGTAGAAGTACTTTGAGTGGTCAGTATAACTACAAAACTGCATTCTAATTTTCCTACTGACTTTTATGTTTTCTGGACATCCAATGTAACCCATTGATGAACAAGATCCTCTGCATATCTCCTAAACTGTATAGTCTATTACCTGCTCTAGTAATGCTAATTCACAGTAAGCTAATTAAACTCTTATCCTGTACATGTGGGTCCCCATTAATATCATTACATAATCTACTTTGTTTTCAGACTGGGTCTTCTTAGGTACATGGTTAGAAATTGCATTGAAGACTTAATACTGAGGTAAAAGTCCCTTCAACACGAGTATTGTTGTTAAAAACAATGGTCCAGACCACTGTAATACTTGTGACCACCATTAATGTTTGTAGTATGTTTCACTTAAAGTACTATTCATTTGAAGTACTTGCAGTTTACCTTGTCCATTATGAATCAAATGTCCATTGAACCATTGCTGTTTGTTTTCATGCCAAGGTTAATGTATCCTCTCACACTGCCTGTGCCGAGCTGCAGGAAACAATCCTTTAAAACTATGAAAGTAGTTTTTCTGTCTGTTCTTACCTTCATTTTTCTTTTTTCAGCAAAATAAATACCCCAAACACGATCTAGGGCCGTATGTGAAGAAAATTTATTTTTGTTCTGTTTGTTTTGGTTGTTGATGCAGAGGCCAACATCTTGGTTACCACGGTCTGGACAGATAAAATGTTAGTCTGAACTTTGACTGCAAACATTCTTCTGTGGCTTTTAGTTGGCCTCCGAGGACAAATGCAATCACAGCTAAAAAGATTTGCAGCCAAAACATTTGTGCACAAAAAAAGAATATACGTTTATGAACAAGAAGGAATGACAGAATCTAAAAGAACAAATGCTGATTTAAAGAACCTGTTACGCTTCCTTATACATGTCAGAATAAGTCCATGGGCTACACTGAACATGTTCACTATTTACTACATTTTTTTGCAAACAATCATTTTCAGATGAGAAATCACCTGATCAGTTCTGCCTAAATGACCTCCTTCTAGAATACGCTGTTTTAGGGTTATGTCAGTATTATGCAAATAAGCTGCTGGCGATTTCAGCAAAAAGTGTCTTTAAACAATCATTTTTGCCAAAGTGAAGAAATTGGACATTGATTGGGCCTTTCTGAACATTTATATCTAAATTCTTCTTCTGTAGCTCTTGTTGCATGTTTAGAGCTGTTGTCTTGTTGGAAGATGAGCCACTTCCCTCAATCTCATTTTTTTTTGGCATTGTTCACCACAGAACTATTGCAAAGACAATACTGAAGTTGTCTTGTCAACAGAATTACCAGCATGAGCTGTGGAAAGTCATGGCTTGGTAGGTCTGTTGTTCTGTCACCCTCTTTCTATTTCCAGATGATGGACTGAACAGAACTGTGTAATATTTAAAGCCTGAAATATAAATGTATAACTTAATCCTGCTTTAGGATTCACAGCTCTGATCCCTTGATCTTCATGAGAGTGTTTCCTAAGAAACATCTGTAGTTATACTGAGATTAAATTACATTTAAGGATAGAAAAGAGAGTTGATTACGTACTTAGAATTGTATTTTTGGACATTCTGTATATTAGTGAATAAAAGGGAAGTGAACAAAAATTTACACCACACATTTTAGATTTATATTTGTGGACAGTTTTTCAAGGCTCTGCATATGTAAAATCACAAGGGTTATTATTATTATTATTATTATTATTATTATTATATTTTACAGTAAAAGACCAGTCACCATGATTTTGTTTAAAGAAATGTGGAATATTTTACATTTGTAACAGACTTTCAGAAACCCGGTAACAGAGTGACATCCATATTAGGGCGCTGCCTTTTAAAGCAAATTGATTTGGGGAATCCCTTAGTTTGTAGTAATCCCATGCAAACTCTGTGTCACCATAAAAGGATGTAAGGTATATTTCGGTGTATTGCAAACAGGAGCTCCAGATATTGACTCAGACTTAGGATTTTTAACTGCAGCCAATTGACCTAACAGCTAAAAATAATTAGTGGCTACTCCACAACCAATTTATAATTTGTCTCTTTTGTTGATTATCTTGTCCTGGCTGATCCTGTTGGTTACAAATGCAAAAACTCTTCTCCATGACTCTGAAGTGTTTCTGGAAACATGTATGTCCAGTCAACACAATGTCAATCATTAACCACTGTTTGACCATCTGGGCTACTGAACTTTTAACTTTGTTGTTAAGTACATTAAAACAATAAGGTGCAATCGGTTCAGAAAATACCCACCCATTCATTTTCAGTCGCTGGATAATCGTTTTCAAAACTGCAGGCTGGAGCGTGGAGCCAGCAGTCAGTGGACAGGAGAGAGGGAACAACCCATACAACTGTGCAAACACAAACACACATTTGAGGACAATTTAGAATCGCAATTTACCTGACATGAACATGGACTGTGGTAGGAAGTCCGAATACCCAGAAAAAGACCCTGAACCCTTGAGACAACATTGCTAACCAATGTGACACCATCAGCCCTTCGGAAAATCTCTTTTTGGTATTTTCAGAGCTCTAAGTTTAACACATGTGACCACAGAGTGGTCAGTCATTTCAGAGGTGCTCACATGTTCTCTGGCATCTTCAGGACAGTCATTGTATAGCTGCAGAGTCTGGGATGTGCAATACTGTGCAAAAGTCTTAAATCCTTCCTCGTTTCTTTTTAAATTGTGTATTTTTCTTTTAAGGAGAATCAGTTTTCTTGAGGTTCTGGTTTAGAGTCAGATTTCTCCAGCTTTTCTGAAATTCTACCTTTTGTTGACTACATTGGTTGTTCTTTCACTCATTTTAGGAAAATCTTGTAAAACAAAGCAATAAACAAAAACATACAGTACTATTTTACAACAGATTTAGATTCACATTAATAGATATTTCCATGTCCATTTTTCATTTGGAGAAAAAAATCATTAGTTACAGTTGTATCATATGTAACCTTCATGTAAAATAATAGTGAAAAAAACTATGTTGAATGCAGAATTTCTTATTTTGTAAACTGAAAGTGAGTGCATGTGCTCTGCGGCTTGCCTGGCTTGTGTTTCATACCTGCACTCTTAAACAACGGCCTTCATAAATGTTTGCACTCCTAGAAGATGTGTGAAAATACAACAATTAATGTATCTTTTACGTAAATGGAAGAATATCACACTTATGAATCTAGTAAAAATACAACTCTAATTTAATTGGATGTATTCTGTTTTAAAAAGTCCCAAGCTAAGAAATAGTTGTATTTTCAAAAGTGATCAGTGCTACAATCGTTGGTGTCCCTAACAATTCCCTTTCTTGTCTTTATCTGTTTGTCTCAGGTTACCCATCCATCACAGAGCAACACAAGACAAACACCCATGAATGCACTCACTCATACCTTACAGAGATCAGCTGACCTAGCAGGTAAATTTTTGGATAGTGGAGCTGGAGAAAAGTCACGCCTGAATAGAGAGAACATGCAAATTCCATGCACAAAGAGCCCAAGGCCTGGATGTGAACCCATGATCTTCTTCCTGGCAGGTTTTAATGTTGCAAACTGTGCTACCTTGCAGTCCTACCTACCAATTCCAATAAAATAAGTTTCACCAAAGAATCATTGTATTTTATTCTCAGCAATTCTGAATAGGTCACAGTTAAATGCACCAACTTCAACCATCCTTGATATTTAAGTATGTCACTGTTCAAAGGCTCGACTATGATCAAATATGATTTGACTATTATATATCAACGAAACACTAGCATCAGGTCACACTTACTGTCTTACTGTATCAAAGACACAGTCAGACATGTCTCCTGTACTTAACCTAATAGACTTTCACGTGGCAAAATAGAAACTCATTCCCAAGCACATGCATGCCATTCCCAATAAAGGTTGCCATCATCCTCATCTCTATCCCATGACTTGCATTGGTGCTGAGTAGAATTTGAAGGGAGCACGGCAAGATAAGTGGTTGCACGTTCAAGCAGTTCCACTCATATGACTGACGTACCCCTAGATATTACTGTGGAAGAGAAGGAAGATGCCTGTTGACAATGAGCCACTGAAAGCCCAGGAGATTCCTCAGTCTGATTCACACTGTGATGGTCACACCAAGTCCACGCTGTTAAATGACTTTTCTATAGACAATAGAAATACAGCAGAAGCTACTAAGTTTATTCCAATGACACTTTCAGTTTACAGCCATTTCTTTCATCTGCCCTTAAGAACCTGGTGTTTACATGCAGTTTCTGGTAGATTTACTTGGGAATGGCTTCTTAACTGAAACCATTAAGCAACTAAAGGTCATTCTACAATCAATTCTGGAGGAGCATGTGCATGTGCTTATCTTACCGCTAAGTTCAAGGAGTTCATCTTTTTTTCTCTCATCCCCCATTTCGATATTAAGCAAACACTGCTCAGCTCTTTGAATAATCATCTGGAATTCTTGTCTGGTAGATTATCCATTTTAAGCAGGAGCCATATGTCCTGAACAATGACCCGAGAATACAAACACTTTCCACGTGAGACAAGTCTTTATCAATGCCCCAGTTGTATAAGGAGTTTGTGTTGTGTGTTAGCTAAGATAGACAACATGGTAGCACAGAGTCAAAGTTACATTCTTACTGTCTCATCACCTCCACATTAAAAGTGTGAATGACATTTTAAAGAGTATAAAAAATCATCTTGGAACTGAGGGAAAGCCCCCTTATGCAAACAGAAAACTTATGCCCATCCCATTAAAACATATTCTAAAGAAAGTTACAGGCCATGTTTCCAATTATAAAAATGGTACAGAGGAAAACACATGTAGGATGTCAACAAGACAGCATTGAAACTTTGTGCTCCATTGGTTTGTTGTGGTAGAAAGTCACATATAGATACATATGTTGTGTTTATTCAAACATGAGCAGACATGAACACTCTCATGCTGTGCCCAAGAAACATCCAAATGACATGAAATTTACAAGCATGACCTTAGGTTGAAGATTATAGTTAATTATCAGTTTTTTTTTTTCCAGCTAACACCACTGAGCTTAACATTTTTTTTTTTTTTTAATTTTATCCAATGTGAATTTTGTTTCTAAATTAACATTGACTTCAATGGCTAAAGATCAATGGAAATCTGATTAACATTATATTCCCAAAGTATTCACTTTGGAAGTGACATCTCATACATAATCCATATGCTTTAGTGTGATACTGACCCATCCTCTGCAACTCTAAAACTTAAAAGCTTTAAGTTTTAGAGTGTGTTTAACCATTTCATAAATGTCTAAATGAGCTGAAGCATTAATAGTTACTTTAACATGTATTTAGGGGCCTGAAAAAGAGCTCCACACTGTAATCCTCTCTGCAACAAACTTTAATCTTGACAAAATACAGTATGGCGAGTGTTATTTCCCCGGCAGCTGCCAAACTGGCTTCTTTGTTGGACTGCCAGACAGTGAGAGATTATTATTCAATCCAATAAACACTGCTCCACTCATATGGTGGAAATGCGCTTTATACCACCACACTGACCTCGGTCTGTGATGTTAATGTGACCCACCACTTCAAGTTTAAGTTGCTTTTATCCCCAACATTTTCTTTTTGCACTGGTTACATTCTATTACAGTGTCATGCCAGAATTTACTGAGCTCCTTAGATCACTCCATCCTTTAACACACGTTTACAGAAGCAGTTTGCATCCCTTGGTGTCGGAGATTGGACCGTCTGAATTCAATGATTTGGATGGCTGAGCAAATTCTTCCATATTTGTTGGATGGATATTGGCGCTGGCTCACCAAGGTTGTAGCCCTCCACACAGAAAAACAATATTCAGAGGTACAAAACAGCTGGGGGAAATTATTTGCTGCACAGGGGCAGAATAGTCATCACCAGTTGAAAAACATGCATGTTAGGTTATTTGTCCGTGTTGAGTCTGATGGTACAGCAATCTGTTTCTGGATAAAGGCACCAGCCATCCCAATTCTCCCTGTGACACTGATCAAGGTTTAGGTCAGTATAAAATAAGTGGATACAGGCTTTCCTAGCATTTGTGCTTGGGATAGACTGTATCCTGGAGAAGATCTTGCCTTGTCCCTAAAGATACTTTACAAATTTCTGTCTGATTCGTGTTTTGGTTAATGCTATTGTTGTAATGATGGAAACTTGAAGCTTTACAAGCTTTATGAAGAATACACTTTGACCTATTGCTTGGAGCAAGAATTGTACTACGAACACAAGGAAACAAGACAACCTGATTTCTCTGGGTGGAAAACATAGTGACCAAGTGAGACGTCTGAAAACAATACAAATGCAAAGTTAAAAGAAGATAACCCTTACAATAATTTTATGTCAGAGGCAAAACTCTGGTCGTAGCAACCAACAAGATCATTTTCTGATGCTTCCAGGCCATGGTAAGACTCTCTGTATGAACTGTGATGCTAATGGGGTCAACAGTTTTCAATATCTACAAAAAAAAAATCATCTCTTGTGCTTTTTGTGCACAGTATGTCGAAATGTTTCATTCACTTTAAAAAACATCCTATATAAGGGAAATCAACTATTCGTCTGATATATTATTAACAAAAAAGCTTAAAAAAATATAAAATGTTTAAATATTTCCATTGTCAAATTTAGTAAATTAAAGTATCTGAAGCATTAATAGTAAAAAGACAACACATGTATCGCTGTAGATAGTCCAGCAGATGGGGCAGTTAGGTTGGGCTTTTGCCTTGGCTGAGAGTCCACAAGCTATATAAAAAGAGCTCGTTCTCTCTGTTGTCAAGTTAGAAACAGAAAGCTAGAGCCTTTCTGGAGAACCAACAAATTTGTTTCAAAATAAATGCTTAGTGAGCCTCAAAGTCTTAGTTTTCAGTTACATTCATTTACAACTGTGCTGCATCTTCTACTGCTAAGATGATCATCACACATAATTTTACTTGCACACTGTTTATATTTTTTTATATTAAAACTATAATTACAAAGTTTAGTTGAATGTCAAGAGTCAATGTCATTTTTATTCTTACATAAATAAAGGGATCAGGAGTTAAAACATAAAATCCACATCCACATGGTCTTATTTTTTTCTACAAACACCCTGCTATGGTTTACTCTTGAGAGATACCTTCAAAAGTAAACCATATCGATTAAAGTATTGTCCGATACTTTAATCGACCATTAAAGTATCTGACAATTAAAATCACTGGACTGTGAAAGCCTCAAAAACACCTCATAATGAGTTTCTGAACAGAAGCAGTTTCTCCCAATATTTTTGATTGACTTTAAATGGGAGGCTTTTTAGATCCCAGAGCTTTTTACCCATTAAAAACTAAAACTGCCACATTAGAGTTATACACTTTTTATTCAGTCATTCTGGTTTTTATTCAATCATTCTGGTTTCAAAATAAATGAAAGCAGATACAATCATCATTAAAGGGCACTGCTACATTTACTTTTATAATGGAAATAATCCAAACTCCTTGTTTAGAGCATCAGAAAATAACCTTCAAATGCGACTAAAGAAATTTCAAGCAGATTTGATTTAATTTGAAAGCCCCAGAAACAATCTGATTTTTTTTGTTTATTTTTAATACATTTATTTATTTATTTATTTATTTATTTATTTATTTATTTATTTTAATGATCACTTCCGACCAAGAGTGGTCTCTTAGCTGCTCTTTCTTGACCGTCAAAGGATGAAGCCTCTTCTTTTATTTCGAAAGGACGCCCCCGGAAGTTTCATTTTGCATTAGATCCATCCATTGTACTTTTGATATTGCTGTCCGCTCTCTGCAGGCAGTCAGGTGTAACAGAGGAATCGGAGCGCTGGATTTGAGTAGCAGTCGTGCTTATCCAAGTAACTATGTGAGGATCCGTCACTGCGATCTGCAGGTAAAGAGACCCGTTACTGATGTCAGTTTGTGTTTTCGAGCTTTATTATCTTCTGGGGGTTTGACCATGTTCTGCTGCAGTGTGCACGGTTGTTGATGTGGCTTTTTTTTTTTTAAATTGGCTCTGTTCCTCCACAACACAAAGGCTTTTTTGTCGGTGCAGAGTTTCTACTTTCATTAGGTGGAAGCAACAGGTAGCGATGAGCAAAGTTGGCGGAAATGTTAATGTGCGATAAAATAATTCAGGCAATTAAAGTCCGACGCTCGACTACGTCAGTGTGGTATGCGGGGTAAAATCTGACGGTACAGATGAGAATGATAATAAACATATAAAAGCTTCATCGGAATGGAATTTGAATTCATTCTTTCAATGTAGACTCACCATGAAAGGAAGTCTGTGACTTCTGTTGTTGCGGCTCAGTATGATATTGTCCTTAGCGGAGGGTGACGTTCATTACGCTTAATGTAGCAAAGTATACTGAACGTCAGCTAGCTAACTGCTAGCTAACTAGTTAACCAGCTGACTGTTGTCAGGGGAGCTTATCGACTCAGTTAACCGTATCGAGTTTCAGTGTTTCTTTAAGTGAAGGAAAGACTCCACGGAGTCTGAAGGACTGTTTGAGTTCCCTAGAGAGGGAGAACATTCCTACATTATCCGCATAAAATCCAGCGCTTTCTGTGTGAAAGCCACCGATGTATTTTCCAGTGTCTATATATATATATATAAAAAAATTCCCTGACTTTTTCCCTCTAAAGATGGCAGTTTTATTTTCTCTTGCTCATGCGCAGACCGTTCATTACGCTTCACCATAAATTCGTAATAATCATTTAACTGTGCTCTGGTGATTGTTATCGTGTATGATTCATAAAGGTAATTTAACTGTTAAAGTCTCTCGTTAATCAACGAGTTTATTAAGTCATACAGGAGAAACGTAAAACAAATTAACTTTTATTTCTGTTCTTCGTCATTGATGTCCTGAAGCTGTGGACGAGTGTGTTCGGGGAACCAATCAGGAAGGTCATATTTATGGTTTTCGGTGCTGGTGTAGCTTCACTACTGAGGGCTGGGCACATTTCTACACCACCTAATGGTAGGCTTTAAGGTCGAGGCCTCTCATTGGCTTGTTCGTTTTGTTAGTTCAATCCATACTTGTTTCTAATTTTGGCCCTTTTTTTTTTGCAGAAGTTTTTTTTGCAGAAGTTTCTAAAAGGTTTAAGTGAGAAGAAATGGCTTAAGTCACACTAATTAGCATATATATATAATTACTTTAATAAAATAGCACATTTATTTTATATGTATTTTATGTAGCCTTAATTTTAGCAGTCTGGAAATGCAACCAATTGCATGAACTGTGCAACACATTTGCACAGTTCATGTAAATGTTTTGGAATAAATCTGATAACCTGATACAAAATGTTGAACAATTATCTGGATTGTTTATGTAAGTGATAGATATTTAGCACGAGTAATAGCTTCCCGCTTTATGAAGACATTTTTAATCATTTAAAAACATGCACCCTTTTTATTTATCTCTACGTTTTACTCTGTGTTCTCAGAGCATGTTTTCCTGTTTTAGGATTGTAATTTGGGAGTGTGAGTATTAACATGATTGCTGGTTTCAGTGTCAAGAGAGTCTGTAAGGATTGTGAAGTGAAAGAGTTGGGGTTTACTCTTAGATCCCAGTCATTTTTGTTGCACATATTTATCACATGTGCAACAAAACAACAGCTGTAAATCAAATACAGTTTTATCTCTTCTTTTTTTTATGTTTGTGTGTTTATAGGGATGAGATGTAGTCTGGATGGCTGATGGACAGAAACGCCGACCTGTTCCAAGATGTTTGCTCGTAACCGCTTCCTCTTCCTGGTGGTGGTAGGCGGGGCGGTGCTGGCCGTCCTCAGTTTCAGCCTCCAGTTCTGTAAGTCCACCCGTATGCATATATGTAAAATATAAATTTTCTGTTACTCAGGAGCCGTGGTCAGATACCCGTTTTTTAATTATTTTTTTTTATTGCGGTTTAGAATAACCATTCATGTATATCCCCCTCATTCCTGTTTTATTTTCAACATTCCACTCATGCAAAAACAAAGCAGAATTCCCTGTAGAATTCCTATAAATACCCAGCAGCAGCAGTGGGCCTCTCTGGATGCTTTGTTTGTTTCCCTCCCACCATCTCCGTTATTTGCACATTGAGGTGCACAGAATTGTGTCGTTTTGTACAGAAGGTGCATGAATGCTGGGAAACCTCCCAGTAGATGAACTGCTTTGCACTGGTGGGAATGTGAAAGTCTAACAAAACTGGTGGTTGATGCAGAAAAAGTTTAGAGATCATGATTGTTACTTGGACTCTTTATGTGTTGAAATTGTTGAAATTCACCTTTTTTGTACTTCCTATGCACTTCAGAGTTCAGCAGAATTTTCAAGTAAACATGCAGTTTTCCCAGGGCAGACATGCTATTAGGCACATGCTACTTATGTTTATTTGAAGTACTAAAATGGAATCTAGTGAATCAGGGCTGCTGTTTTAGACTTCAGAATCTGAGTTTGAGTTCTTCAGCTGTTGTAACTTCAGTTTTTTTCCTGGTTTTTTGCAAAACAGCTGAAAAACTGAATTTCTTTAAATCTGGACTAAAACCTGCCTTTTTAGAGTTGCTTTTGAACCTTAATAAATGAAATATTGACCAACATAATTGATGTGTAACAATGACACTTGACAAAATGTGAAATGTTTAATGGTTTTCTCTATTATTGACTGCGTGATGTCTTTTATGATTTTGTATTTTTGTGTTTTTATGATGTAAAGCACTTTGAACGACCTTGCTGCTGATATGTGCTTATACAGATCAACTTGAAAAACCATGAGCATTTTAATGGAAAACCTCTTATTGAATTGTTTTTCATCTTCTTTTGCTGTGCTGCTGTGTAAGTTAAGTTTATGCTTTTCAACATGTTCAACTAAGATTTTGTTCCACCAAATCAAATCCAGCGCCATTACAAACAAAACAAACAAAACCAAGGTGGGGAGCAAGATGCAAATAATGATTCAAATCATTATGTAACTGGAAATGTATGTTTTATGAAATGTTTGTACCAATCTATTGTATTCCTATGAAGGTTCACAGTGCAGTGTGACAGTTTAAGCACACAAATGTCACATTATCCCTGCAGACAGACTCTTTAACATAGAATAAGTGTCATTTATAAATGCTGTTCTTGACAGATCCCTGCCCACATTTACAACTTCTGATTGGTGTTTATAAACACCAGCTGCTCATAAAAATATATCATAGTGCCTATGAAACGGTCCCAAATGGCATTTACACAGCTAACTTTTCACTGCAGCCTCCTGCAGTGCTTTGGGTTTATGCTAATCATGCCTGTTGCGCATTTCATTTCAGTGGTTTTGTAGGGGAGAAAATAGTTGCCAAAATTTATTTATACATGAGGAAGAATTGAACCATTATCCAGGAATAGGAATCCAGGAGAGAAACGGGGGATTTTCTCTTCATCTTTAATAAATGACTGTCGTGTCGTCCGCCTGTCTCATACTGCTCTTTCCTCTTTGACTCTCTCCATTTAATGGAAAAGTCTGATCGCCTGTTTATTGCTTATTGATGAACTTTACTATCAGAAGATTGTCCATCTGCCTCCAGGGGACAAGGATGACAAAAGGACAGGGACATCTTGGGGAGGAGTGGTGCAGCACATGGTGGTTAAAGTGACTAAAACAGAACATGAGAATCACAAAGAAGTGAATCTGTAAAAGAGAAGTGAATCAGAGCCGTGTTCTGCAGGAGAGTTGGTAGCTTGATGGGCAGGAATAAAAGATAAGCAAGACATTTCAAGAAATGTATTTTCACATGGAGCAATTCAGATGTACTTTAAATGTCTTTGATTATTATTATTATTTTTCCTATAAACGCTCTAAGAAAAGTCTGTACACCTTAGCACCCTGAAGTTAGCATCTAATTTGAATTTTCATTTCAGCAAATAAACCAAAGGCGTATTTCACAGATTTCAAAGCAATTTGGACTAAATTTGTTCTCTCCTGTTCCAAAATGTCAAGTGTAGATGCTGATCAAACTTGAAATACATGATTCAAAGATAAATGTTGATTCTTTATACCTTAATTTTGTAAAACCTCGACTGCAACTTTGGCTAAACCTTTGGGAATGACAGATTTGTTTTGTCTTTCGCAAACTGTCCTGCTTCATTTATTTTACTATGGCAATTTGCAATGATTTTATGTTGAGGGATAATATATAAAAATATATATTACAAAAAAGTATTAATTATACAGATTTAATTCATAACCAAGAAAAGGTGTTAGTAAGCTGATTTATGCCCTTTTCTAATTTAAAGAAAAGAGCAGAATAGTTATTTTAAAGATCAATAAGGCTTGGGTCCGTCCTCCTTTTGCCATGGTTACCTGTTAGGAAACACAAGCTTTTTTGTCAGCCTTTTACATCAAATGACTGTACAGTCACTAATGTTGGTGTCATTTATTGAATCAACATTAGCTTCAGGGAGCGGTTCAGGGCAGTCCAGCACATGCCAGAATCTGGATGGATGCACAAACCGTACAGTCGGTTGGATAAACCAACTTCATGGATTGATGGAAAGACCTACTGATAGATTCTCAGTTGGACAGTGTGACGGGGAATGGTCTGAAAACACACATCCAGACCTGGAACATTTTGAAATTCCATCGTTTTCCAGAATGTGCAGGAATACAGCCGTTTGTGCTTTCTACCAAATCCTTGTTTTGTTGCCAAAGTGAAACTAAAAGCTGCCCTGAATCATGATTACTTCTGAGAACGTGTGGTTATGTAGAGCTGTTTATTTAAGAAAAATAGTCATGTTTATTTGCACCTGCAATTCCTTTAGTTTTGGTGTTTTAGCTTTTGGGTGTGCACTGGGATCATTTATCAAAGTGCTTTCCTACCCTCTAATTACAGCTGTGGTGTAGTTAGAAAGCAAGTGGTTTTCTTTTGGTGTTTTTTTTTTTTTTCCATGCCTGATCTGATTCAAAAGTAAGATCTAAGCTTTTCACCATGTTTAGTGTTAAAGTATTCACATGTTAATGACCAGCTCTCCCTCATCACCCAAACTCTGTTTTTCCTTTGGATAAAACCTTCTAATTAAGCCCCTTTTTATTTCTAATGTGATGGAAGGAGATGTCCTAAATAGAGCAGCCAAACTTTGTGTAGATCCGTGAATGTGTGTGTGTATTCCAGCTTTCCTGTGCTCCCATTCGAACTGAGGATGAGGTCACAAAAGCCCCATTGTGTATGGAACCGTGGCAGAGCTGGTCTGGAGAAGTTTGGTCAGTCTGCGGAGGCCTGTGTTTGGACGGTGGCTTGGGAGGTGGCTGTGTATAGGGAACAGGTTATGGTAGTGAATGAGCTCCAGTGTGTGTGAGTCTGCAGCAGTCAGCTATCAGCATGGTCTCCAGTGTTACCGGGCACTTTCTCTTCTTCTTTTGCATCGTTTCTGGTGAGTTTATACAAACGTGCTTAATGAGCAGAGTTCTTCTTTTTTTTTTTTAAATTTTTTTTATTTAAATTGTTTGCTGACTTTCACACCTGTATTTTTGCAATTCTTAAGGTGCATCTCCAGATCCAGGGTTTTGGTAAACTTACGTGCCTAGATGATCATTTTTCCGTCGGGTGTAGTTTATTCGCTCTGGTATACCACAATAACTTGATTTAGGTAGCCAGTGAGGAACTGATACTCATACGAATATGTACCAGTGTATGAGCTACTTGTAAGATTGACGTGTTAACGATACTTTATGCTGTAGGGCTTTGTCAGCTGTTAGTTTTATTTTAAAGCTAGCTAAGGAAGGCAGCATGAAACTCTGTGTGTTTATCTTTAGCATAAACATCAGAATCACCATTTTTCCTTTGCTTGACAAAAATAAAGCTATAAAGATGTATCGCTGTAAACACATTTTCTAATTTCAATTTGGATACATAAAATAAGGAGAGAACAAGTTTTAGGTCAGCAGTCAGTCTGTAACAGAGATGCACCAATCAGACCTACCTTTAGAAAGGAGAAGGATACTCTACATCCAGAACTCAGACATAAATGCTTCTTCATTCCAGGTGCAATAACTGCAGTCGGTTAACTGCGCCTGCCACAATAAACAATAAATCAATTAATCGCACAGTAAATTACAAGAAACTCAACAATTTTCATTTTCTTGATTCACACCACTGACCACACCTGGTTAGAAATGAGGGCAATAGAGAAATTAATGTTGGCACAAAATCCCTGAGATTTATAAGCTTGTGGGAAGACAGAGGAATTTTCTGAGGGCACACACAGTGTTCTTATTCTTTCAGAGTCTGATGTGTGCCTGAACGTTGCCATAATCAGAACTACATAATCTATTTAGGTCACCATCAAAGCAGGAATGTGTCTGTTCTTGTTCTTTTGTAGCCAGAAGCAAACTTGAATGACACTTAGACATTCAAGTTTCATATAATTTACTTTGAAACTTGAATGTCTAAAATGTGTGTGTGTGATGTAATTGGGATTTAGACCTCCGGCTCTCCAAAAGGGGACTTTGGGGCTGTGCTTCTTTTTCTTGGATCTTTGCAAAAGCCGGTTTAAGTTCCCACAGCAGCTCTGTCTTTGTTACACCATGGTAACAGTGAGGTCTTAAGAGGGACACAACTGTTGTCATGGACGTGAAATGTGGTGGAACTGTGACAAAGTTGTATTTGTCTGCTACTCTCACCATTTTGTAAAAAATTCTTGCTACTCTGCTCTATTTTCCGCTCTTTTTCTTTGTCCCATTACGTAAAAATCTCTGTACTGACCACCAAGTTTAGCCCCAGGCTTTTTACCACAGATTGGTGCTGGTATGCTATTGCATGAACTGAAATTGTTTTGCTTCTTCCTCTCTAACGTTGTTACTTCTCCGTCTTTCCTCTTCCTCGCAGTGAACCTGATTCCCACCTCTCCCATGCTGGATGAGCAAGCAGGCCAGGCTGCAGATGGAGGTTTCAGAGGTCTCCAGGCAAAAAGCAGAAAGCGAGTCTTTCCTGTTCATCACACCCAAGAGCCTGATCCTGTCTTTGAGGCCTACAGCTACTGCAACACCCCAAACCGCACCGAACAAGCCTGGGAAGGTAAATGCATAAATAAAAAAGTAACTATAAGATTTATGAAAGCCCACCGAATGCTGGGAAATTCAAACTCTTTTTTTATGTGTGGTCTTGAGACCAGTTAACTTTTAAAGCCAGGATTAGAACTAGATCATATGGAAATCCAGCCACAGTACACTTTTAGTGTGTCAGAACTCCAGTGATGTGTTAAATTTGGTAAAGTCAATTCCTTGTAATTGCATCATATGTATTTTTACATTGTGGAACTGTTTTTATCTAGGTTGGGGTCAGTGAAAGAGATCCTGCAGAAACAAGTTGCATAAGCACTACAAATAACTCTTCACATTGTTTTCCACTACATGTTGCTTTCCACTACAATCTCCTTTTTAACTTAAAAATAAATAAATAATATATATATATATATATATATATATATATATATATATATATATATATACATACATACATATGTATGTATATTTCTAATGAGGCCATTGTTGTAAAATTCATACCAGATGTGGGCAGCAACCAGAGTAATTCACACATTCGTTGAAATCAAATCGTATCACTTCACATGTCATTACAGGGGAAATAATGAAATGAAACGGGGAATAATTATTGAACTCAAAGAGATTGATTAGATACTTTTCTTCTTCTTCCACATTATCATTCTTAAGTTCTTTCCATAGATTTTCAATTGGATAAAAATTACATGATTGATTTGGCCATTTTAGCTATTTTAACTTTCTTTCTCTGAGTTTAGAGTTTCCTTCACCGTGTTTTTAGGGTCTATTGTCTTGCTTAGAAATTTCCATTTGTCATATCTTCAGATTCCTGGTATATTTCTCCATTCATCCATCTTTCTGTTAACAAAGTAGGCCTTGTTTGAGTATAAATAATCATACCACTCTTCAATACTTCTGTTATGATAAATCTTTTTATAGGCCACCAGTTAATATATAATCAGCTGATGCTGATTTTCACATAGCAGCAGAAATGCTTTCCAAATACGGACAGATTTCCGCTGATATCTTGGCGCTCTATGTCTTCTTTGACATCTTTTATTTTGTACATTCAGTCTTTTTGGTCCTAACAGCAAAATAAAACCTAAAATGAAAGAAAATTTCTCTCGAGATTAAAGATTAGGGAAATTACACAGTTTGCCTGTAATTCACTGAGAATAAATGGATCAACAGATTATGAGCACCATTCTTCTTTTTAATTTCTTTTAAACAGCAATAAAACATGTCTTGGAAAATAAGTGAGAGCAGAAAAAAAAGCCTATTTGTGTTGTCACAGGTCACAGCCCCGCGGACTACAAGCTGCTATCTGTTCATGTGATGATTCGCCATGGAGACCGCTACCCGCTCTACTCCATCCCAAAGACCAGACGCCCCAGCATCGACTGCACCCTGTCTGCCAGCAGGTAGACAACAATAGTGAATACAACCACAATTTGTATATAATGTCCCATACACCATAGTGAATATACAGTATGGTTTTGCACGAGTCTTCGCATCCCTTGAACAGTTTCACATATTGTGACATTACAACGATGTATTTGATCCACGTTTGTGTGAAAGACAACGCCTGCACCCGTCTTGCACATCTATAAACTGAAGCTACTTCTTTGCAAAGCAGCACAAGCTAAGTCCAGTTTGAATGGAAAATTATTTCATGACTTGTCACTTCCTACGTAGTTTGCATACTTCTTAACAGAGCATGTATAAATACATTTTTTCAGTCATAGAATGTCTTTGTTGTGCTAGTAACACACAAAAAGACCCTTATGGGTAGACACGACCGTCACAGAGGGAGAAGCCAAGTTGGACCCAAACAAATGTTTTCTTTTTTGCTTCAGGTGAGTAAAATTAACTCTCAGGCACAGTTTTTTTTTTCTTTCTAATTTTATTTATTATGTGAAAGTGGCAGAGCGTGAGGCACAAATAGATGTCAGAGCTTTTAATATTCTCCCATAAAAACTCCTGCTGAGGAGCGATAAGAACGTTTTGCCTCGAAAAGCTCCAGCTGAATTTAGTGGAAATCACAACCTGAATGAGGCGCATTAACTGGATTTCTGCTCACAACACTGCTAACAGTTGCTTGGCTTCTCAGCCGTAATGCACTTGTCACCACCAACGGGTGGGCACGGCTTGGTATGGCACATCTGCGCTTTTGTACAGCTGGAAAAACACAAACAAATGCTAACAAACACGTCACGCATCATTGTGTTGCCGTTGACGCACACTTTCTGCCTCCCAGAGAGGGAGAGTGGGTGGAAGCAGCAAAAGTGCTAAAAAAAAATCCCTTATCTCTTTCCACTCACTGAACTCTACTCTCATTTTGTGTCTGCAGTGCTTTGTGTCTGCTCTCACTCACTCCGCTTGTTCAAGAGGGTCAGATAAGATTTTATGGTGAGCAGTTATTAAAAGCCGGCTCTGCTTTCTGTTTGAGCCTAGCATATCTGAAATCGGGTAGTTTTTCAGAATTCATTTTCTTCAAATAAAGCAAACTCTGCATGAGAGTAGGCACATTATAATTTAAAAATAAATAAATAAGCAAGGGAAACTAAATCCAGAAAATCGGACCATATGGCCACCAGATTGTCTGAGACAAATCCTCTTTTGACGCCGTGCACCTGAGCTCAGATTTAGCTAGCGATTTAATTTTACACAAAGCAGCACATCTGGACAAATCACAAGGAGACTTTTATCTGTAAATCCACAGGCTAGAACGCTACGACCTGAATTCACTTGATCTAACTTTCTACTGTTCCATCTTGACATGGAGAGGGTCGTAAAAGAATTAAAAAGCTGTGTTTCGTATGCCAGTCAGTTGATTCAGCTTCACATCTCTGCAGCCGAGAGCATTGTTGAAATCGGACAGGGAGTGAAATCTTTTTTTTTTTTTTTTTTTTTATCTGCTGTTTAATAGCGCAGGAGACCGGATGTCTGACAGAACCAGTTCCAGCCAGATAAAATCAAAAGCACTGTGACCTCACATCGGAGTTCTGCAAGAAATGCATCCTGGAATCTAAAATACCACACTAGCTCTTAAATCCCATCAAGACGCATCCAGAGCTGAAAGTCTCACTTTTCTACACACATTTCATCAGTTTCGATCTTGTGAAGGTTATAATTAATGACATACGGTGTTCTTAGAAAGACAACGTGTTATTCAGAGTACACCATATGTCACTCAACTCAATCGACAGTTTTTACAACATCTTTGGCCATGAATTGTTAATTCAAAGAAATGTTTTACAAGGTGTGGATAGAAGGGAAGTCAAATGCGAGTTACCATGCCTTTGGCTCGAACACTGAGTCACAACTGAAACTAATTCTCATCTATAGGACTATACCAAACAATATGTGGATTTCAGCAGAGGTGTTTTTCAGACAAAGGAGATATAAAATTCAAAAACCATGGTAAGACACTAGGTCTTCTTATCTGAAGAACTTTATGCTCACAAACAACATTTCTGATCTTGTCATGTTCTGGCTCCAGACGTTGCTGGAGATATCTGCTGTAGCTGTGGAGTAACCTGTGTGGTATTTCCATCCCTCAGTTTAGGTTGTGGTTTCTCTGAAAGCCATGTTTCCATTTTTTACAGAATCATTTGACAAAAAGTGCTTCTAGTAGTCATGCTGTTTTCAGTGGGTTAGAAGGGCTCCTGTCGTTGAATCTCACCGTTTCTGCATTTTTCTGCTTTGAGAAAACAATGAAATGGTCACCGTCTATTACCATACACGCTTTTGGTATTTTTAGGCTTTCTAGTTGTGTATTTCCCCTTTGCTAATGACTCTGCGACTTATGATGTGTTGTTTCTATGGGTTGCACTTAAATTAATCAGAAGTCTGAAGTCTGGAGAGGGTGGAGGTCTTGCCCCTTCCAAACATTCTCCAAATCCCTCATAGCTATTAGCCGTAAGCTTCACCACAAACAGATGTTGAGAGGTGGAGCTGTGAAAGGGTGAAATTTCTGCTTCATCACAATGAAGCCAACTAATTCCAATACAAAG